CCCCACTCACCACTAGGACAGGGAACCATTCCAGAATCTGCCCTCCTTCTGAGTCCACAGACCAAGCCAGGATGATTTATAATACCCTTTCTCCAAGCAATGAAACATTTAGAGTAAGATTTAAATTGAACAAGTTCCCTGGTGGTCTCTTCCAATTTGCATGTTGCCTCACTAACCTGGCCCAGATTTCTCCCCTCTACGGGGCAATTCTTGGAAAACTAGACACCAGTGCTAATTAAGAGGGTTCTAAATGACCAGCCAGCCAATGATAAGGTGAGCAGGCGCCACAAGGGGGCAGCAAACACAGCTGAAGTTCATAGGCTCCTTGGATGATAAAAGGTTACCAAGGGATTTTCAAAGCCTTGCCATATCCTGTTCTTTTTAGCCTCATAGTAACCCAGGCCAGCGCAGAGGGCAAGAAGGGTCCAGAAGCACAGTGCCATGGGCCGAAGTAAAGGGACAAGAGTCCCTGTGGGCTGAGAGCATAAACTGCATCTTAAGGATGCTGATCATCAGGAAGGACTCAGGACATCTGCCCTACCAGTTCCTGTCTTGGAAATGCAGATAAGCTGTGCCCAGATAAATCCCACGAGCCACCGTCTATGCGAGCAGTCTGTCTAGTCATACATTTGGGGGACCGGGGAGCTTTTTCAGTGCGGTTATTTGCCTCCGCTGAAAAGGGACCGCAGGGCTGCGTGCCTTTCACTACGCGGTGGTCACCCAAGGCCGGCAGCTGTTGCTGGCTGTCGGATTGCTGGTGAAAACTGACTCCACCGCGGGGTTTGTCGAATGTGTTAACAGTTAACACGAACCCATGTCTGAGTAGAAATCATCACAGCAGGAATCCACGTCTGAGCAGAAATCACCACCACAAGAACCCACGTCTGAGTGGAAATGCACTGTGACAGGGAAGGTAAGCGTTAAGACGTTTTCATCGTGGTCATCAGACCATCACGTCCAGGATAAAAGTGGCTCCTGCAGGGAGATGAGCTGGGAGGCCAGCGGCAGGCCCACTGAGACCCACACACAGGCATGTGGCCAGCCCCACAGGCAGCCCCTACGTGGGGCAACTGGTAAACCTCTCTAAAACCTTGAGGGAGAAAGGACCCCCGTACTATAACCCATGTCTCCTGTAGGTGAACATGCGAGGCACCTTCTTCCATCCCATTTTGTTTCACTTTGTTTTTAATTTTCTTTTATCCCCTATCCTCACTCCCATCCTCCCTCTACCTCCTCCAGGTAAAGCTTCTAATGTGCATCTTCTGGTTTGTACATGTTTTTGTAAACATGCTTTCTTATGTGAGTATATTTTTATTGTCTGTAAATTATACTGTTGCATCTCCTTGTTTCTTACATTTTTCACTCAGCTATTTTTAAGGTCCACATTAGATGCTGTCTGTGGCTTGCAGCTGCTCTGGAGCACTCCATGGTGTCACCCACGGAATTGCCCTGCACATGGTCCCAGTGGTGGACATGACTCCACCCCACCCTCCACAGTCACACTGGGTGAGTGTCCTTATACACGTCTTCTTAGGGACCAAGGTGAAAATTTTGTTGGGAACATTTACCCACACATGGAATTTCTGGAGTGGGTCAGCACATACGTCATCTGATTTGTGCCAGGTGGCTTTGCAGGACGGCCACACCAGCAGTGCACCGAGGTCCCTACATGCCTGCCAACACTTGGCATTACCTGCCTTTGTGATTTTTGCTAACCTGGTGATACCCAACTGTTGTTTTAGTTTGTGTTTTTCTGATGATTGAGTTTCAACATCTTTCACAGGCTTCGTAGACTATGGGGTCTGCTTCTAGACTACTCATTCCCTTTGCCCACTTGTTTTTATTGGGGTTGTCTTTTTATTGTTGATTTTTAAGAGCGCCTTGTATATTCTGGATAGTTAATCCTTTCATGGTTTCAATCACTGCAAATATCTCCTCTCAGCTCCCACACCTACAGGTAGGCCTTTTGCCAACCATGAAGACAGAATTAAGCATACAAAGACATGGGAGAAGGGGAGTAACAGAAGTAAAATGAAATGGAAGGTGTTAAGGTGAGTCTAAAACTAACATATTAAAATGAGAAAATGAAAATAATGAAAGCAAATATTTACAGAACAGCAACAAAACACTCAATGAGGTCTTTTTAAGTACCAGAAGTACAAAATAAAAGTTAAAAAAACAAGTAGTGTTAAAAAAAAAAAAAAAAGACCAAGAAGTTAAAATAAATGTTACGGTCAAAGTACTTTTTAAAAATGGCATAAAAAGGAAGCAACTGCGTGATAAAAAGAAAAGGCAGGGTGGGGGTGGGGAGAATTATGCAGAAGTCAGAGAGATCAAAATGAAGGGATAAAGGATACTCACAAGTGAAAACAAACCAAGGAAAAAAGACCTAAGAGTAAACACAGTAACAGACACGACATTCACCCAGCTGGGCTTCAAAACAGAAAACAAAGCCCCTGAGAATGGAGAGGAAATAACACCAAGTGAGGGCAGACAGTGGGAGGGTCCAGATGCAGGCGGCCAGAGGGAGGAAGGAGCCCGTCTTTGGATCGTGGAAGGTAGCGGCCCCCAACCTTTCGGCACAGGTCCGCAGACAGGAAGCAGAGCTCAGGCAGGAAAGCAGTTGAAGCTGCTTCCTTCACTTGCTCGCCGGCCGCTCACCTCCTGCTGTGCGGCCCAGTTCCTAACGGGCCACAGACCGGTCCCAGTCCTGGCCAGCGGGATGGGAACCCCTGATGTTAAGGTTTCACCCCATCAGCCTGGGGCCAGTGAGGAGCCCAGCCCTGGGGCAGCAGCCATGCTGGCCTCTCACCCGGCTTTGGAGAGTCTGGGCGTCACCCTGGGGCTCTCGCCGCCACACCCTCTCCCAGCCTCCCCGGCTTGCTCACTGCCTTCAGCAGAACCCACAAGTGGCCACAGGGCCAGGGAGAATGCTGCATCAGGGATCCCTCTGGCAGGCAAGGAGGCGGCCTGTCTGAACAAGTTCAGTACCACCCAGGAGTGCACCGGGTACCATCTCCAGGATTCACCAGGGAAGGCAGAATGCGGCCTCGCCCGAAGGAGCAACGCCTGCGGGGGCCCAGGAGAGCGGCCGTGCAGACTCCAGCCACTCGCTCGGAGTGGCCTGCTGTGTCTGAAGTGACCTAATTGACTATTATCAGTTTCAATGACAGGAAAACAAAAGATTAAAATGACAGAAAATCCAGAGTTTCATCATCCCGTTTCAGTACAAGCTGGAAGGCCGAGGAAATATCCAGATGAGTCACTGGAGGGTAGAAATATCTGATCTTATCTGGAGGTGCGGTGAGTCCTGCTAATCTGAAACCGTCCAAATCTACAAGGCAGGCAGCCCCCAGCTGCTCCGAAAGCTCACCTGAAATTCTGGCTCTTGGCAAGGCAGACCCACCTTCCCTGGCCATGGCGCCTGGTGCCAGTGCTGCCGGCGGCCCCCAGCCCCCAGCCCCCCACCCACAGTGCCCAGGCTTGGGGATTGCATCAACCAACATTTGGTTTTGAATTGGTTTTCAATTAGGAGACTGAGGTAAGACTGTCATGTCCGTATTTTATTTTCCCAAGGAAAACATTTTTTAAAACTACCATCATTAAAAGAACATTTTCACACCAAAAACAGACTAGAGGATGGTCTTTTATGTGGAATAATTTTGAGCTTCATGGAATTATTACATGTTCCTCATCTTGGGAGGGGGGTCAGGAAAACTGGCGGCAGGACGGCCGACGTTGGCGCGCACCGCCAGGACCTGCTGGGAGTTAATTCCCGCCACTCTGATCACAGTGCTTCAGGGAAAGAGCGGGCTTGGGGTGCGATCTAGGTCCGTGCTAGGGTGCCAGCCGTACAGAAACAAATGTCATCAACTGTCACTCAAATCCGATGCGCCTCCTGACCTCCCAGCTGCTGGCTCACCTTCCTCCCTGGTCTTGGTGCCCTCACGTCCTCAAGGCCCGCCTCCATCACTGTGGCCCCCTATCAGATCCCGCGGCTGGAGCTCTGCAAGCTGCAGGCGCCCCCGCCCACGCCCGGAGGTCCACCAGGAGCTCCAGGGGGGTCCCCTGGGTCCTCCAGACTTAGGCGCTTCCACCTTGAGCCTCCCACCACCACTCAGCCCTGTGCGATGCCTGAGCAGACGCCACCAGCACCGAGTCCTGCAAAGTGGAGCTGAGAACAAGGACAGAGAGGGGACGGCGGCACCCAGGCCGCCACGTGAAGGCAGTGCTGGTCACAGGCTGTGCTGACGCCAGGACAGCAGACAGGCGTATGGGGCTGGCGGCCTGTGGCATTCAAGTTCTTGGCCAAAGTGAAACACTCTGCTGGAGAGGACGGACCGGGCCGAACACGAGCACCGTCTGTACAGTCACAGGAAGTCTGGTCATGGGGAAGCGTCCCTCAGATGCTGCCCTGGCCTCTGCGATCTCTGCCACTCACTGATGTCGCCCCTCCCCTGTGCTGGTCTGCCTATCAGGTCACTTGCCCCCAAACACCTCCGCCCCCATCCCTGTGCCATGAAGGAGCACCGGCTGGACCAGAAGGCTCCGTGCGATGGCGCTGTCTGACCCTGGGGAGACCAGCTGTGGGAGAGAACCGGCACGGTGTGAACGGCATGCACAGAAAGCTCCCGCCTCTGGGCTCGCAGGACAGCACAGCCCCACCGCGTCCTGCACGCAGGCTGCACTCCGCCTTCCGGAGCACCAGAGAGAGGACGCTGCAGCGTGGCCGAAATATCACTGACGGCTTTGAAAAACCATGCCCAGCCCAAGGGGACTAACTCTCGTGGAACTACTTGGGGACAGAGCCTTGCACGTTGCTAGGCCCGCAGGCCCTGATGGCCATGGTCCCCTCTCTCTCAGCCAGGCCAGGACATCACTCCCTGACAAGGTGAGTGGGTCTTCAGACACACATAAAGGCTGTGACGGTACAGTGACAGGCGTCTGCCAGCAAAGAGTTCTCTCCACACACTGTGGACTACAGCGCAACACAGCGCAGAGCTCGGGGGTCTGCCTGGCACGGCAGCCCCCGCAGAGGCGGGCACAGGCCGACGTGCTCCGGGCCACACCCCCGGGCAGAGGCTGCCGGCGGCGCCTGCTCCCCCAGGCTGAACCCCCGGCCATTGGTATGGCCTCTCATTTTGGATCTCTGGCCTCACCCACAAGGGGTGGACCCTGCATCCTTTCCTCCTTCCACCCCAACAGAGGTTTACTAGGATCGGCCCCAGACCTAAATTCAGACTTTATACAAATAAGTACTTCCGGACCCCTCCACAGAAAGATCCCAATTGGAAACCAGCGACAATCTTTGGGTCTGCATTTATACTGTGTCCTATGGTTTGCTCTGGTGGGGCCTGAGGCCATCCGGTCATGCAGTCTTGCTTGATGGGGTTTCCCTTACCGATGTGACCCAAAAGCCGCTGTATTGCCATAGCATCGGGTTTCTTAGCTGATGTCAGTTCCCCCCTCGGAAGAAGGAAGTGGACCGTCTTAAAATCAGACCGTGGGAACCAGGATGGGAGGGAATACACTTACTCTAGGTATAAAGGTTCACTATTATTAACAAATTATCACTATTATTAACACGTTTATAAAATGGAAATAAAAATGACCTATGCATTTGGTGCCAAAGTGGCCAGTACAAACTAATATCAGTACAAAAATAAATTCTCAAGCTACATGGTTCCAAAATAAATGTCAATGAAACAGGAAGGGGAAGAAAATCTGGATCGGACCTGGGTCGAAATGCAAACATCAGAGCAAAGAAGCCTGGGGCGGCAATGAAACCAGTGCCTGCTGGAAGAGCCGCCCCGTGTTCTCACAAGAACCCGGCAAACGAACAAACACAAATGTACAAGTTATGTTCCTGAGCTACAGAAGCTTAGCGCCTCTATACGGTTGTGGATTCCTGCTGCAGAGGCCCCCCGATGGGGTTGAGCTGATGACCTCTCACTAGTGCTCAGCTGGTGATACTGTAGGCAGAGAAAGCTTCACCCGGCTGTGAAACAGAGAACCCCGTGGCTAACAAAGGACAGCGCACAAGTCCTCTCTGTCCATCACCAGTCCTGTGGGTTTTCTGCCCGCAGACAGACGTGGGCAAAGGGGAAACTGGAAGCTCCTGCTTGGAAGCCCCCAGGTTGCCCGACAAGCCCCTCGGTGATTCTGGTGGAAACCCGCAGCGTCTCCCAAGTCCTGTCTCTCCGTAGACACACACTCACTCACACCTAGCAGCGGACCTCATTGGTCAACACAGCCGTGGCCCCTCCAGAGAAAGCAAAGCCGGCCCAGCAAACCCCGGGCACCCGACCTGGTGCCGCGGGCAGAGCGGCTAACTCTCCTCCTCATGCCCCGTTAGGCCAGGGCAGGGTGCTGTGCCTGCTGACGCAGCGCGCTGGGGCAGTGAGGGCGCCGACTGACCGAAGAGCAAAGGCCTGCCAGCTCCCGCTCTGCTAGGGCAGCGCGGCGGGTGCCTGCCCCGCACAGCTCCTCCGGGATCCTGGCAACGAATGCAGGTGCCGAGGGGAGCGGGGAGAAGGGGCTCGTGAATGGGCAGCGACCCGGTTAAAGCAGCTCTTGAAGGTTCCCTGTGGGCCGAGGGCAGCTCACCGTCCCCCAGGGCCGGGACAGCAGCAAGAGGTCCCCACACCCCTGCAGCTGCAGCCCAGCTCTGCTCACTGGTCCTGGACCTTGGCCCTTTTGGCTTTTAGGGACAGGTGCTGCAAGAGAAAACAGCATAATTGGGCTTGGTTAGACAAAGGAACCAGACTTCAACACAATTCCCATGTCAATGGCCAGATCAAAGCTTCCATCTGGTTCCCGCCCTCTCAGTAAATGCTGGGCCCCTCAGGAGGAGTCTGCAGGGGACAAGCACAAGTGACCAACAGAGGAAACGGACCTTCAGGAAGCCACAGCAGCCCGAGGCCCAGCCGGCCATGGCTCAGCCCGGTCACACAGGCCGAGCAGCCGGCACTGCCACCGAGCCCCTGTGCTCGGGGGACTGGGCTGGGGCTGGACGGCACATCAAGTGTCCTTGAATTCCTTAAGAACAGTCAAGCAATGGAAATGAAGACATGCATCATTTCACCAGGCACCTCAAATGCAGGTACCTGTGCAAGGCAGGGAAGACACATAGGAAAAGGATGCCTCCTAGTGACGTGGTTTTCTTTCAGAAATGCCGCTCTCCACCAGCATAGATAACATAGGAAGCACAGCAGTACAATCGTGAGCATCAGGTAATAGGACTGAGGGAGACACACATGCTAGCTCAAAGTGCTAGAAATTCTAACACATGCATTTATGGCAGAGTGTACAAACACACGTTCTAATAGATGGCTTCTGTGCACCAGCTGAGGTACCGTGAACCCCCTTAATAGTCATAAACAAACAGCCAAGAGATACCTAAGGCGTGTCACCCTGCCGCGGGGGCAGACCTTCACCTGAGGAACCCCCACCCTGGCTGCCAGCACAGCAGGCCTGCCCACCCCCACCCCACGGCTCAGCGCCCACCCCAACCTGGCCGCGGGACAGCCGTCGCCACGGCCGACAGAGAGCTGCAGGCCCTGGGAGAACGCAGGGCGCAATAGGGGGCACAACACGCCGCCAAGCACAAGAGAGAGGACTGAGCGGACAGGACCCAAGTCCAAACGAGCTGAAAGAGGTCCCTTTCTAACTGCTTATGCCCAACAAAGGACTGGTACAGGTTCCTGCAAAGGTCCTGGTTAAGAGGATTTTCCCCAGATTCCAAAGGTGTCTCTCAGAATCAGGGGGAAAAAAAACTTTAAGGGCTGAAAAGGCAAATCTCTGTACAGGCCACCCTGTTTTTCTCCCTGGTTACTGGTCTTGCTGAATTTCTCTAAATTCTCTCACTTCACCTGATGTGACCCCTACAACTAACGTTAGATACCCCACAGCCTTAGCTGGGGAATGGGCGATGACATCATCGTGCCTGGGGGACCATTTTTGGTGCTTGTTCCTGGGAAGAATGTTGAGTATAAACAGAACTGAATCCAGACCATTTCAGGCTTCCACAGGGTAAGAACGACACTGAAAAACAACAGCAACGGAAAGTTACCAAAGGTGCCGGGAACAGGGCCGGGGACAGTCAGGGCGCCCTGGGCACTCATGAGGTGCTACGCTGTGTCCCACAGAGGAAAGTCCACCGTATCTACCATACGTGGGCAGCCCTCAGAGGTCTGTGGGGCTCTCAGAGAAATCGATTTGCTCTGGACTAACAAGTTAATAGTAGAAGTGCCTTTGGACTGACTGTTTAGTTAAGGAGGGGCTGAGGCTCTCAGGGGATTTCAGGGCCCTCGCCTATACAATAAAGTTGGGGTACCAGGTGATTCTTCAAGGCTCCAGCCTCTTTAAAAATAGCTCTGATCACAGTGATCAGAAGGTGAGAAGCTGAAAAACAAGCATTTTGGAGAGAAAAGACAAATGCAGAAATTTATGTTCGTCATTTTCTTCAAACTCCTGGGCTATCTGCTCTTAACTTTGTGGGTCTGACCTAAAGAAACTGCAATCTTGAGCTGAGAAGGGAAAATGACTCAACTTCTAGGTTCAGTCTGTTCTCCAAGAGCCTAAGACAACCTCAGGTTTCTCCTTCTTTGCCTGCGTGTCCCTTACTCCTTTAACACGCACTCTTCCAACGGGGCCGCGCTCAACGCCTACTTTGCATTTCTAATCACTGCTCTTGGACTCTCCACCTGAGACATTTTGAAGGAAAAGATTCCCTTCCACTTCCAGTTTATTCCTATCAGGCCAACCCAGCAGAGGCAATACACTCGGCACCACTATCGGTCCCTGCAGCTGACCTCATGTCTGGCTGAAATCTGCAGGAGAATATGTTTGAAATGTATTTTGTTTGATTGTGTAAGATTTAAATATTATAACAAGATTTTTAAGACAATCTGCCCTCTCCATTGCGAGAGGGGTCGGGTGAGAAGCTCCTGCCACACACAGGGTCACAGCTCAGATGCTCCCAGGAGCTGAACAGCGAAAGAAACAAGGACGCGGCCTGTGGCGCCTGGCGTCATTCCCAGCAGGAGCCGTCCTCTGTCCCTGCCAGCTGCTGCCATGACAAAACTCAAGCCCCAGCGTAAGCAGATTTAACACTTCTTGGAAGAGAAACCTGAAATCCGTATTTAATGTGAAATCTCCCAATTTTTAAATGTACCAGTCAATCTACATTTGGGGTTGAGAACACTGCAGTCCTGTTATAACCTTGACGAAGTTACAGGTTTTAGAAATTCCCTTCTGTGGAAAATGATGATAAAACTAGACAAAATATTGATGCAATGTTTCTGGGCCACAAAATGCACTGGGCAATAGACAGCACAGGGCTAAAATCTATCGGAAGGAGGAAACGCTCAGGGTGAGCTCTGCATTCATCCCAGGCCTCGGCCTGGCTCTTCAGGCCGTGGCACACAGAAGTAAACCCTAAACAGAGGGCAGGACTGCTGGGCAGAGGAACTATCCAGCCTAAGACGGCTGGAATGCACAGGACAGCTCCAGGAATCTACATGGGGCTCCGCTTACGTCCTGGCTGAAGCCTCACAGGTGCGAGACTCAGTAGGGCGGGCAGACAGAAGTGACTGGGGAGCTGTGAGCGGACACGGGCAGCCTGGAGGTCCCTGCTGTGCTGGACACACCAGAGTTCTGCCCAGAGGGCAGAGACCTCACTGAGCATCCGGGGCATTCACCGGAAAGGTCGTCATGCCTTACTTAGGAGGATGGCTGCCTTATGCTGGCCCCGTCAAAGGCTGACACCGATCCTCAGTGAAATTAAACTGATCTGCCATTATTAACTTCCTATTAGGAAAAAGCTCAGCATTCTTCCAAGAAAAAGACAACAAAATCCAGACTCTCCACAACTTAGCATTTATATTTTCCAGGATAAACAACAATAGTAGATAAAAGAAGCAGGAAAATGAGACCCATAATGAAAAAAAAAAATCAAAAGATAAAATAAACCAGAAAATGCCCAGTATGTTCAGTTAGCAGACAAGCCCTTTAAAACAACTAATACAGGGATGGACAAAAGTAGGTTTACAGTTGTTCATATGGAAATTAATAATAATACAAGTAATAAAATAATAATAATACAAGTCATAATAATAAACTCTGTTCCATGTAATCACAACTGTGACCCTATTTCTGCCCACCCCTGTGTAATATGTTGTAAGATTTAAAGATGGACGTAATGAGTGAACACAAGGAGATTCAAAACAGAAAAATATAAAATTAAAGGAGAACCAAATGAAAGTGTGAGAGGAGAAAATGCAAAATGAAATAGTCTCTGGATGGACTTAACAGCAGGCTGGACACTGCGGAAGAATTGGCCAGTGAACCTGAATACTGGTAAGAAAAACTATCCAAGCTGAAGCATTAAAATGAATAAATAAATAAAATAAAACTAGAGCCTCCACAACATGTAAGATAATATCAAGTGCTCTAAACATACGTAACTGGAATTCCAGAACCTTGGCACACAGAATTATTGAGGCAGAAAAATATTTTAAAGAATAACAACCTCAAATTTCCCAAAGATGATAAAAAGAAACATCGGCTGACAGATCCAATTAGCTCAATGCAACTAAAGCAGGAAAAACACACACAAAAAAACACATAATAGGTCAACCTGCTGAAAATACAAAGATAAAGGAAAAACTTAAAAGCACCCACAAGAGAATAAATATACATTGCACACAGGTGAGTGACAATAAAAATGACTGTCTTCTCACAGAAACACTTCAAAACAGAAAGCAATGACTTCAACTCTTTAAAGTGCTAAATGGAAAAAAACAAAACAAAACAAACAAAAAAAACACCAGACTTTCAACCTACAAATCTAAGTACAGGAAAAAAATGTCTTTCAAAAATAAAGATAAAATAAAGATTTTCAGACATATGAATGCCAATGGAATATTTCACTGGCAGACATGCATTAAAAGATACAGTAGAGGAAGTTCTTTAGGGGAAAGACACCTGACAGAAAGGCGGACCTATGCAAATGAATGGAGATGGCAGAAATGACAGATACGTGAGAAATAAAAAATACTTTCTTTTTCTTGTTTCTTAGTTTTGTTAAAAAGACAGCTGTTTAAAACAAAAATGGTAACAATGTACCGTGGAAATAAAATATATGTAGAAATAAAATATGACATTTAAAAATATGTAGAAAAAAAGTAATATATATGACAACACATAGAAATAATTCACATGTAGAAGTAACATACATAATGACATATAGAAATAAAATATCTAACAAGAGCACAAAGAATGGGGTAGGGGAAATGAAATACATAAATTTCTTACATTATAAGCTAAATAGTGTCATACCAATTCAGGGTCGTCTGTGATGAGCTAAGGATGCATACGTAATCCCTAGAGCAACCACGAAACCAAGAAGCATAAACAGCCATTGGAAGAAATAATACAGGGCACTAAAATAACCTGATTATGCAAAAGCAGGGAGGTTTTAGGAACAGAGTAAATTGGACAAACAGGAAATAAATAGCAAGATGGCAGACTTAAATCTAACCTTATCAATAATTCACTGAATGTAACTGGACTAAAACACATCAATTACAAATGTAATGCAGAACAGAACAAGTCTTTAGGCTCTATTTAGCCAGAAAGTTTGGGAGGATACTTGAGCCACTCCAGTGTACGCGTTCCAGTGTGACAGAATTTCTTTTTGGAAATAGGTTAGAAGAGCAGAGGATGAAAGAACAAGCTGAAGATACATTCTCTTTTATGTCTTATGTGTTACTTTTAAATGCACTGCACTATAAGCAAGTGGGACAGAGCTTTTACCCAGAATGGTTAGGGGATATGGTAATGGCCACCTGACGTGCTATTGGGGGCACAATTTCAGGCACTGAACTGGAGAATAGGTGTGTATTTAAAAATACAAAGAGGCCGGTTAGCAGGCAGTTTCAGGGACAGACTGTTCATTCCTACCGTTCCTTGTTGATAGAAGTGTGGAGCCAGCTCCAACAGCCAAGCAGATTCGATAGCAGTCACATCTCTCATGTAATACTTGGAGGTTTGTATAACTTCATTGTAGATAACCCTGAAACAAGAAAGCAGCATGAGCTAATTTCCTGTATCTTGTGATCAGAGTCAAGAGCCACAACAACTAGAAATGATGAGTTTTTTCCCTTCACCTTCAACAGGTATCTATTCTGTGTCCAGGCACTACTCTGAACAAACGCTCTGATGTTGATCACTTAAGCCTCATGGCCTGCGTGGTGGAGAAGAGTGTGTCCCTCCCAGGGGAGACTCTAAGTCCTATGTGATTTCCAGGACATCTCAGCCACCCCCGACTCTCCTTGGCATTTGAGGTGCCAAGGCAGCCCTTTATACACTGCTTATAAAAGCCCTTCTCCTAAGATACCGAAATCTGTTGGTGTTTGTCTCTCCATCCGAACTAAGAATTCCTCTGGGACCTGAATTCCTCTCCACATAGTTGTGCAAGGTTAAGTGTCTAGTCCAAGTGCAAAATTGAATGTTACCTGAATGGATGAGTCAGTACAGGATTATCACCATTTGCTTAAGGAGATCTCTGATAGAGCAGAAATTCTATAAACGACCCAGTATAACGTGCCAACAAACGTGTCCTGGGCACCTGTTCCAGGCGCTGTGCCAGGCAATAGGGACTTCACACACACAAGAACTAGGCCTTTCCTTCCACGTGGTTACACGGCTAAGAAGCCGGAGGGTGGCTCACCAGCGAGGCGGCTTCTCTGCATAGAGGACCGACGCAGGGTGGATATGCAGCTCATGGTCGTCACGGATAGTCCTTGTAAAACAGAAGAAGTTCATCTGAAGTAGATTTCAAATACGTATAGCAAGACTTTCCCAGAGACGTGTTTATTATAAAAAAATGTGCACAGCTTGTACTTCAACGGAACAAAACTATCCTCTCCATCTTCTCCTGTGCTCATTATGGGCTCCGCCCCCGCTGCCGCCCCTGATGTCAAGAATAAATCATGCAAACAAGGGAATAAAAGGAAAATAACACGTGGACATTTAGGGGAAAAAAATTTAGAAATATATTACTCTGCCAATCTTTATGTTTATCTTCTGTAGGCTCTCTTTCAAAATAATTTCCTTGGGAACAGAAATAATATAAATTATTCTATTAAACAAAGTTAAATATGAAAGATAAAGACTATGGGGGAGATAATAGCGGGGGGAAAAAGCTCAATATTGAAGTATCCATTTCTCTGAGATAATATTTCCAATTCCAATGAAGACTTGACTCAATTTAATTTAAAAAAAAAATTTACCAGGCCCAGAACTATCAGTAAGGCCAGATCACAAGGGACATTCACAACTTAGGACGTCACTGCCTGAACCATAATTACAGCGTTCGGTGGGTGCCAGGGACGTGTGTGTCAGGGAAGTGCCTCAAGCACTGGGGCCGAGCTCACCCCTGGCAGCGCAGAAAAGCCAGCGCCCTGGGGTCCTGAGCTGAACCTGACCTTTGTCCCGAAGGGGCTCACGGACTGCGAAGCCTCTTACGCATATAGCCCATATTTTTGTTGAGGACCCTGGAAAGAACTTCTTTAATGCTACTAGGAATTGCTAATTCACACTGTCGAGGAGAGTGGGGCAGCGAAGGTGACAGCACTCCCTGGAGAGGCCCCGGCCACCAGAGCTGCCTCAGCACGGCCAGCCCGGTGCCGGGCAGGGGCACGTGTGATGATGGGCAACAGAATCACGATACTGACAGGCTACGACATGTGGCCTGGGGTGACAAAGAAAACATACAAGTCCTCTATTTAGGTCCAAACCATTTAAGGGTTCCATCCACTAAGAGACCTGGCTACCCAAAGAAAAAACCTCGTTGCGACTCTGGACTTGTTAACAAAGCCCAGTGTCTGGGACAACGTGGCTGACTTCACAGTAACAGGACTGTAATATCTTCTGAGGGGAAAAAGGTCATGACAAAATGCTGCGGGAAGGAAACCCACAGAAGAGCTAGGAGAAAGCCTTTAGACTGCTCCCTTGTTAAAAAACAGACCACTAGGATCCCTGCACTTTAAATGGCCCACAGAAGACCTGGGAGAAAGCCTTTTCATTGCTCCCTTGTTAAAAAACAGAATATTAGGATCCCTGCACTTTAATGGGCTATAGAGAAGTTATGAAACTAAAATGAGCTGAGAAAAGACAGACCAAAAGGAACAATTCAAAGAACTAGAGTGACTTAGTTTGGAGTAAAGGTAGCCAAGCTGTGTGTGAGCTTTTCCTGTACTTTAATATCCTGAAGGCTAGTAGGAGGGCAGCCACCAGCAGTGACTCCCTTTGCCTAGAAAATGAAGCAGGCTGCAGTCGGAGCAGCAGGCGGGTCGAACACAGGAAGAGACACTGGCCACCATCCAAAGACACCAAATGGGGCCACAATGCATCAGGGTAGGCGGTGGCTTTAATCCTGTAGTTCTCTAGAAACTTATGAGGTACCCAATACCTTGACAAAAATACCTTGTCTAGGGAAGACCACCTTTAAGGGCTCCTTCTAGTCCTATTATTCTATCATTAGAATGGAAACACTGCCGGCCTCCTGGCTTGTAAACTGTCACCTTTCTACAGCACGTGGATGGGCCGAGTATTTGAGAATCATTTCCATAAAACTGAGATACTTTGCTTAAAGCTATATAGCTAAACTCAACTCACCATTGGATAGAGGCATGATATAAATAAGGGAAAACTCTTCCATTTAATTTCTCTCCTTTCCCTGCACATCAGCTTTCTATGCGGTTTGGATCATTTTTAAGATGTGTCCTTTAATAAGTGACTTCACCAAGTATCACATTACCTATAAGCTCCGGTAGAATGAAACCGTGCTGCATTTGCAAAGAATCCCGAAACGATGCACTTCAGAACCGGATCCGGATCACCTGCACAAAGCAGCCAACAGGAGGATGGATGAGGGCCCCGCCTGCAGGGCGCTCTGTGTGCCCGGGCCTGTGCTGTGAGGTCCCACCCCCGGCCGTGTCGAGCCACCTTGCAACCGTCTCCCCGCACTGTCTATGGAGGTCCCCGCTCTCCTACAGTGGCTGCTGAGGGAAACATGCTGGACTGTTCCTTTAACTTGGGGCTCCCAATTCTCCTGGGCCACAGGTGCCCAGGCCAAGGCTGGGCACTAGAACCTAGGAGAGCACTCTGCTGGCTGGCCGTGACCTCAGGAACTCCTTTCTGGAACATCCTCTTATAGAAATGATGTTCCTTCCCTACAATCTGGGACACTAACACAACATTATTTCTGTGGTTATAAGCTACAGTGTGTAATTCTTTAAAAATTTCAAACATTCTATTTTAATTGGTGTCTGTATTGCTAGAGTAAACATCTTCCAAGGAGAAAGGCATCCCATTTATTAGATGATTCCCACAGGATACATTCCAAATTAGTGTGCAAACAGATAGTGTCATTTATATGGCTTATGACATACCATATTTCATCAAATCTGAGACTCACTCTTTGTCTGCAATTTAACTCACTACATTAAGGACAGCATTTTATAATTATAATTGGCAGCGGTTTTTTTTTCTTTTAGTGGTACATAAAATAATGGCATGTCTTATTCATAATCGTGTTTTAGATTCAATGAAATATAGTTTGCTGATAAATCAGTTCCCAAAAGGCGGTAAAATTTACAAAACCATCAACAATGTATGAGAACATCAGTTTCACTGCATTCTTACCAGTAATGTTTTGGTAAAAAGACACTTCCTCCCTTCTATTGCACAATTATTTGATGACTCCTGTATTTCCTTTTGGCACATAATTGATGAATCTCAAGTTTACATCTCTAACCACAATCTGATCCAAGATTCAGTCTCTTCTTTCCAACTGCCCATGAGAAATTTCCATGTAGAACAAAAAGGGTGAAAAATAGTTCTTGGGAGGCAAAGTGGGAGGCAATCTTAGATATCACCGTAGTTGAGTCCCTCCCAAGTTCAACCCTACCTTACAAAATCTCATTTCTTAGTATTTAATTTCTCTCCTTAGAAAGAATTTAATGTAACTTTTCTCTTGGGCGAGGGGTTGCTAATGAAAAATAGGTTAAGGAACACAGGTCTAGAAGACTGTCATCTCTCTGCTAGGTGACAGGCACTCAGTCAGCTTCTCCTCAAATAGCTGGCCCTGTAAGCTTCCTGTTTCTAGCAATGACACCAGCTTCACTCAATCACCCAAGTTCCAACTCTTCCCCTCGCCTGCCAGGAGGACTCATCCATTAATATTCTCTGAGCATCTAATACGCTCCTCACTCCCCGCACCTTCTGTCTCTGCAGTCCTCCCTGCCTAGCATGCCCTTTGCTACTACTGTCCAATTCGAATGGTTCGCTCACCAGGGCTTTGGCCACCACTCGAGGCCTGTGGCGAGAGCTCCCGGGCCAGCGCCCCTCCCCGGGCGCCTTCTTCCCTGCATTCCTGTCACAGCTCGCCTGCCATTGCTGTCCTCCACTATCACCAAGGTGTCTCCTCTCGCAACTTCTCAGAGCGCTGGTAACCTGACACTGCAGTAGTCTGTCTATCTGTGCGAATCTCTCTCTCCGCTTGCACTGTTGCCTGAGAGTAAGAACCATGTCTTCGCCATCTTGTAAGCACTTGTTCTCGGCAGTGAAGGCAAAACAAGACTCTGCAATCAAGCTGCCTGGGTTCAAGTTCTGACTCCACAATACACTCACTGTGTAACCTTCAGCAAGGCACTCATTTCCCTTGGCCTCACTTTTTCATCTATAAAATGAGGATAACAAAGATATCTGTCACTAGGTTGTCGTGAGCATTAAAGAAATTAACATATAAAAACACTAGAACACAGCCTGGCCTATTGTACACAAAGGTTGGGGAGCCGAGAGCACGCCTGAGGGCCTGGCACACAATCTGCTGACTGAATGAGTAAACGTGTCACTTCCTCAAAAGCCCAGGAACAAACCTTGTTCTGCTAGAACCAGCTGTGTTGCCCTGAACTGAACTACTCCCTAGGGCTTTCGCAACTCCCCTGTAAAATACGGTAACACTACCTACACCTCACAGAGTGGCAGATGGAGACAGTAACTGTAGAACCCCTGTCACAGTGTAACCTAGTGTGTCCTCAGTTAATGGCAGTCACTGTCACTGCTGGAGGCCAGAGACTGTGCCTTGCACAGCACTTCCGCCTTACCCCGACGCGGCCCAGGTTAAACACACAGCACTTGCTTTAATGATATCTGTATTTAAAAGGTGAAATATAGCTTATCCATGATAGCCATAAATACTGTCCACTTAAAAGAAATTTTTCTTACAAAGCCTACATGGGAAAATTAACTATATAATGTTCAACGATCTGAAGGTTAACAATTCTTAAGTGTTGTCAGGGCTTATGAAAATTTTTTAGCAAGAACTGCCCTCGGACGTAAAAATGAACTCCGCTGGAAAAGAGCATACTCTTTTTACACCGAGCTTTCCATCGACACAGGTACAAAGTACACCTGCCCTCTGCGTTGCATCACACCCCAGCAGGAGGCTCTCACGCTGCAACCAAACAGAGCACAAGAGGGACACCACCAGCAGCGGCAGTTTATTCTTACCTTCACTGGAGTTCTTGGGCACTTGGAACTTGACAAGAAGCTTTTTCAGCTGCTCCCTTACAGTGGCAGCTCTGACAAGCCCCTTGTAATTCAGGAAGTGCTCCTGACACCACCGGGAGTTCTTGCTGTGCTGCGGAGCAGTGCAGGCAGAGGGGGCGTGAGAAGACCGCGCGCAGAGGTTCTTGACTACACCACTATTTTCTCTTCCTGCGTCTGCTTCCTCGGGGACACAAGATTGTAAGCGGCCCTTTTTGGCCCATCTCCCTAAACAGATGTTGAGAGAGATGCTGGCAGGCTCACCATCTGCCTGCTCTTTGATCTTATTCTCTGCCTAAAGGGCAAATGAGGCTTTAGTGATAAGCAGAGCTGTCAATCTTAATGACGATCTTAAATACCTTCCTAGCTAGTGGCAAACTATCAGACAGAATCGCTTCCCTGTGGATCCTTGTAAATAAACTTTGTTCCTTTGGCAGGCTTGAGTTTATCACTTTATTTGACTACAGGCAAACAATATGACACTTACCAATTTAGAAATAATTTCCAAGTTACTATTATTTAGCCCCAAACTATGATTTTCCTATCAACACTTCATTTTGTTCTACATTCTTAGGCATGATGATTGTGTCTTAGATTAAGTACTGCTATGGGGATGTGCCTTGGAAATTAGTCTAAGCCAGGCAGGAAAGTGTTTTAAGTAAGAAAATGTAAATTACACAGGACCTTCCCAGAAGGCAACCACAGAATAAGCAACACAGACCCATCCCTGCGTTCCAATGGTGGCGGAGCTTTGGGTTGGAGGAGACACACTAGGCACATACAAACGACTTTCCGCTGATTTAATCTGTAATTAATAATCTCAGTAAGAGATGGCGTTTTTCTGAAAACTGTTCATTGACTGAACAATCTCCATTCAGATCTCTGGTAGAACAAAAAGTCAGTCTTTCTCCTCTTCTAAAAAAGTATTTAAAAAATGAATATAAGGCACTGAAAATCTGAAATATCTCATTTCCCTCTCTTACAGCCTCTCCTTTACAGAGGTTTCTGTTTTCATTGTCTTCATCATCTTTAGATCTCTCTTTTAAGCAATTTTTAGGGAGCACTTTAAGCTGTGTTATTTGCTCTTTGTTTTACATATTAAGAATACAAATTAATATCCCCTGTGCCTAAAAATAGGCAGTGTACGTGAATATATATGGACCCTTGCAGCCTGTCTGCAGCTGGCGGAGTGGTTCCTATGTGAGGTCTCAAACTCACCGAAACAGCTCTGAAGAGTGGACTACAGCCTACAAGTTACTCTCAGCCTCACTTACTTGCAGAAAATAGAACAGAACTTCCTACTCAAATGTCAGACAGCGCTGTCCAGCAACACTGGGTGCGCAAGAGACAGGGTGAGGGCAGGGGCAGGGAGGGCGGAGCCAGCGGTCTGCTGCAAGTACCACATCTCCAGGCAGGAATATACAAGAAACGATTCCTGTGTTCTTCCAGGCAAAACTGCACCACAACCTCAGGCAGGGGACCAACCCGCAGATTAGAAATACTAACAATAGCCCTGGCTGGTGTCATTCAGTGGGTTGGGCATCATCCCACAATCCGAAAGGTTGCTGGTTCGATTCCCAGTCAGGGCACATGCCTGGGTTATGGGCCAGGTCACTGGTTGGGGGCGTGTGAGAGGCAACCACACACTGATGTTTCTCTTGCACATCAATGTTTCCCTCTCTCTCTCATTCACTCTCTCCTTCCCTTCCACATTTTCTAAAAATAAATATATAAAATCTTTAAAAATATATATATATTGGCCATCATCTAATAGGGAAGCAAAGAGGTCTCTTGGCCATCTCTTGGCCATTCCTTTAGGATGAACTCTGGAATCCTTGTTCCCAGAGTGCACAGGCGTGTAGAGGCACCTTTCAGGTGGTAGCTGTGCTTACTTTGATAAATGCTTCATACACGTTGAGCATAGTGAGATGATCACCTTCCTCCACAGCAAACTTTCGGTGCATTCGAATCTGGAAAGAAAAAGGCAACATTTAGAAGTTGACTCCTGTGAGCCTCTCGTACTGGGAGGTACCGTTATAGAATGAATAGCTCATGGCTTGTAGAGCCAGAAGGACTTGGTTTACACCATTCTAACTCTACCACTTCCTGAAAGACCTCAGACTGGTTAATCTTGCTGGGCCTCAATTTCCTTTATCTGTAAAACTGGGATAGTAGACTATCTATCGAGATTACTGTGGGATTGAGATAACTCACTGTGAAGCACAGTTATTAGATAAATGTTCTCATCTTTCCTCCTCTACCCAGTCAGTATCTCTTTCAGAACTCCTCCCAGCCCCCCGACAGAGTGGAAGCTCCAGGAGGGCACATCCTGTCTGGCGCGCGGTAGACATTCTACGTTCCTAGGCCACCACTCAGACCCCATCCCTAAATTTTTCTTTCTGTAAGATCCTGGGCAATGCCATCTGCTCCCATGGGTTCAAGGAGCAGCATACACAACACTATAAATACAAGCACACACACATACTTCTCAACTTCAGAATTTTCTCCTTGCATCAAATACCACATAAGTAATCTTTCTTCTTCCTTCCATTTGTTCAATACCAGATATTTACTGAGCACCTTCATTAGGCTAGGCACTGTTCTTCGAATTTGGAATATAACAATGAATAGAACAGTCATGGGAGAAATACAATAAACAAGATAAATAAGCAAAATATTTAGTATATTAGGTGATGAGAAGTACTAGAGGAAAAAAATTAAGCAGAAGATGGGGATGGAAAGGGGAAGGGGGATATGTTGCAATTTTAGACACATGGGAAAGCTTCAGTTCCTTCATCTTGAAAATGAGTTTGCCTGTCCTGAGGTGCGACTGTTAAAAAGGCTAACAGAGGAGCACACAAACAAACAGGAAAAGAAGAAAACAGACACAGCCCCCTGGGCAGGGAGGCGGGAACACATGGCACTCTGTGGTTATACAACTGTAGGGGAAGATGACAAGAACCCACAAGAAAGGCCCCCTCCTCCCTACTGCACGTCTGAAGTCGGCCTCTCCGTGCGCAAGGCGGCCGCTCTGACTGTCCTAACGGCGGGCGACCTGAACTCGGCACTGGCCTGCCTCCGTCGCTAAGCCCCACCTCGTGGTGCTCTTCAGGATCCTAACTTTTCCTTCACAGTCTTCCCAGCATGCACTCCTCCAGTCGTCACTGAAGCCCGGGCCCCAGGCGGGGCGTTGTCACCTGCCTGGCTGGACTCCCACACTCCCAGAATCAGCCCGCTGGGCCCGGGCCCTGCCTCCTTACGTCGCTGATGTGCCCACTCAGTTCTCCCGGAGCAGCCTGAAGGACAATTTCCCTCACAGGAAAGCCAGTGGGGCAACGGTTAAGATTTGGGACTCTGGCCTGTGACAGGCAACCCCACATGGCAGTGCAACCAGGAAGGAATCACCTAACCTTCCTGTGCCTCCGTCTCTCCATCTCTCCAAAGATACCGGTTTATGGTGAAGATAAAATGAAGCGCAGGAAACGTCTGGCAAGACGTCAGGCACACAGCAAACACTCAAATGTAAGCTGATATTTAAACTGCTCGGTTGTGAGCACTTCCTAGTCGCTTTAACAAGAAAGCCCGAAGTGAAAGAGACTGGCATGCACAGCCCAGAGAGAGAGCTGGACTTACTGCCTGAGACTTCTGGTTTGAGGGGACCACGAAGATATTCTGGATCTGCATCATGGCTGCGATGCTGAGAATTTCCTGAGAACAGCCAAAATTTCCTATAACACAAAAAGCATGGTTGAGTTCAAACACACAATGTGTCAGTGAGAAGTGGAAGACATTTTCTGATGTTTTCCTTGTGCCATACTGCAAACTAAGATGATATATCCACATACAGCTTGATTTTCACAGTTTATACTATGTAAGCGCTTCGCCCTGCAAACGAATGTCCTATACATGGCCCTGGTGACGGGAGGCCTGGCCGGGCCCCGAGAGAGGAGCTGCTAGTTCCCTCGGCAGCTGTGACACTGAGGGACCCTCACTGTGAGCCACAGGGGAGCCACACTGGCCCCTTCACCGAAGGGCACTCCACACCTGCTCCGGGCTCTCCTGGGTGGACACCTGGAGTCCTGGCAGAAAGCCTGAGAGGGAACGGGGGTGGGATGTGAGGGCTGTGTCCCTTCTGTCTCCCTGCTCCTGGGCCCTCCTCTGAGGGGCCTGCCTGTCAGCGCGCCTGGCAAACTAGACCAGGGAGCACTCTGGGCGGTGGCTGCTACTGCTGCCGCCCGCCCCTGGGGCCAGAGTCCGCAGCCGTCAGCCCTGCAGGGCACTAGACGGGGAGGGCGAACCAAGCTGCCAGGCCCACTGCCCGCGGCGTCCTGCCTGTGAGTGACATCCTCCCCGACTCCAGACTTCGATCCCATAAGCCTGAGGTCACTTGGTTGTTCCAAAACACAATTACAGCTAACTTTCACAAGCTCGGTCTGACATACAGCTTTGTAGGCTGACAGTTAATGTAAAGATTAGATAAAAGCAAGAAAAAAATTATTTACTTTCCCAGGATAAGAAAACTATCCTCTAGGTGATTTTGATTTCTATGTATGAGAAGATCTCCAGGTCGCACATTTTTCTCCCCTGACTCATATCCTTACAGAGATCTGAGGGTGTGAGAGAAGTCGGGACCCTTGTGCCTTGGTGGGGTGAATACATAACGGCGTAACCACTGTGGAAAATGGTATGGTAACCCCTCAAAAAAATTAAACATAGAATTATCAGATGATCCAGCAATTTCGCTCTAAGTATACACAGAAAGGAAGTGAAACCAGGGACTTGGACAGATATTGGCACGCCACACTCACAGCAGCATTATTCACAATAGCCAGAAGGCGGAAGCCCCTAAGTGTCCACAAACAGACGAATGAATGGCTGAACAAAGTGTGATCTATATGTACAATGAAACATTATTCTGCCTTAAAAAGGAGGGATGTTTTGACATGTGCTACAGCAGGGATGAATCTTGAAGACATTATACCAAGTGACACAAGTCAGCCACAAAACAATTGTCAGATTCTCCTTATATGAGGCTCCTAGAGGAGCTGAATCTGAGACAGAAAGCACAAGGTTGCAGGGGCTGGAGGGGAGGCGAGAACGGGGCGTGGTGTTCAATGGGTACAGAGTGGCAGTTCGGAGAGATGAAAAAGTTCAGGAGATGAATGGCGTTGATGGTACAGCAACAACGTGAATGTACTTAATGCTCCACAGAACTGTACATTTAAAAAGTGGTTAAAATCGTAAATTCTGTTATATATTTTTTATCACAGTAACAAAAAACTTCCCTGTTTAAAAAGAAAAATCTGAAGGTGTTCGTGTGAGGCCCATGAGAAACAAACAGAAGTGTTTACTGAATTAATGACTGAGATGGGTCACAAGTTAGCAACATGCCCCAAACCCGACAGCCATCAGGGCGGTAGCGCCTTCGCTACTCGAAATATATTGTACCCTCTTCCCCAGGGCGCACAGAATGCAGGGAAATAACTCCTCTGACAGTCGAAATAAAATCAGTGAGAACCGCGGTTTCCACCCACCTGATTCAAGCAGCATTTTTGCAAACATGGGATTCAGAGGAAACTCCGCTATCCTCATGCCAAGCGGCTCAGTTAGGCGACAGTCTTTGTCCAGACCTGGCAAAAGAACAAGACCCATCAGAGGGCACGGACCACCGTGTCAAAAGCCGTACAGCTGTTGAGAGAACAAAAGATGATGAATGCAGAAAAAGTATCGAAAGGTGAATCATGCACTACCAAACTCAATCTGACACCAGAGAACTGTTATGTTAACAAAAGAAAAGACCTTTGAGCTCTTGAATATTTAATTTTAAAAACAGATACCTCTAATGGCTTCTATTCAAGGACACAGTTATAAGGCCACAGCCCACAGCCTCCTCTTGCTCCCACACTCTCCTCACCCACAGCAGCCTCGCCGCTCCCCACAGACCGCTCTTTCCAAGGCCCCCGACTGCACAGTGTGAACACGAAGGGTATTTCTAGGGTCTGCAGCAGACTTTGCCTCTGTAGACCACAGCTCCTCGGAAACACTCTTCTCAGGACCCCCTCTCCTGCTTCTCTGCCATGTCTCCTGCTGCTCCTTCTCTGACACCTCTGGATCTTCCACACCCTGTGGTAGGTGTCCCAAGATCGCATCCCATGCCCTCTGTTCTTCTCTTACTATGTGAGCAATGACAAGGCTGTGACTATGAATCTACACACCTGCCCAGGTCTCTCTTTGGTGCCAACACCAGAGCTGTTTACCCAACTGCCTCCTGGGCAGGTTACTGACCCAGGGGGACTCCTTCCATTCCCCAAGTCCCTCCTTGCCTCTTTACCACTGGCCACTGCCTAGAAACTGAATCCCATGATGCAGACTATTGTTTTACTATTGTTTAGACTATTCCCAAGAAGAGGCATTGAAACAACTGCTTCAGAGCTCAGAGGAAGACAAAAAAGGTTGTTTCTCTTCTCTTCCCATATAACCATCTCTTTAAAGGTAATAATTCAGCTTGAAACTAAATTAAGTTGGGTGTTCCCCTCTATGTTTTCCAGCTAATTTAGGGCAGTGAAAAAATAGAAAATATTTTACATGCCATTCTGACTGAAGGAAAATCAGTCCAAATGAAAAACCTCTATGCAGGCAACATTCTCCCGCCCTCGTTACAGGTTATCCCAGGAAGCCTTGCTTTCGAGTTCCCGTTACATCATGAGAGCCGGAGGCGGACACCCATTCCCGCTCCCACTGTGGGCGGACTTGATGCAGACCCGCCTGAAGGCCTTTGAAATCAGTACCTGGCTATTCCTTGCATGAGGATGGACTCCTACCTCACCCCATACAAAACAATTAACTCAAAACTGATCTTAAACCTACTAAATGTAAGAGCCAAAACTATAGAAACTCTTCAAAGAAAATGTTGGAAAGAATCCTCTTGCCTGTGGGTTAGGCTATGGTTTCTTAGCTATGACACCACAAGTGACAAAAGAAAAAAACAGATAAGGTGAACTACTTAAAACTTACTTTTGTACTGCAGATGATACCATCAAAAAAGTGAAAAGCCAACCCACAGAATGGGGGAAATATTTACAAATCACAGACCTGAGGAGAAACGTGTACACACAATATACACACACACAAACGTGTCCAACTCAATAATGAAAGGACAAAACCTCCAAATTAAAAATGGGCAAAAGATTTAAATAGACATTTCTCCAAAGAATGTCTACTGCTTCATATCCACTAGGATGGTTATCCTACAAAGGACAGACAATAACAAGTATCAGCACCTTGTTATTATGTGGAAAAACTGGAAACACCCATACAGTGCCGGTGGGAATGCCCACCAAAGACCCGCACATGGATGTTTACAGCAGCACCATGTATATCAGCCAAAAATGAGGACACCAACCCAGATGCCTGTCAACTGGTAAATGGATCATAATAACATATGGTATACCCATACAATAAATTATTTACCCAGCAATAAAAAGAAATGAAGTATTAACGTGGTACAACATGGATGAACCCTAAAACATCATGCTGAATGGAAGAAGCGAATCGCAAAGAGCCCGTATTAGATGACTCCATTAGTACGAACTGCCCAGGATGGACAGATCGGTAGGCCAGGAGGAGGGCAGAGGGATTGAGGACGGGGTGCTGGTGGGCACAGGTTTCCTTCTGGGGGGACAAAAGTGTTCTAAATATTCAAAACCTGTGCTGATGGTTGCACAACTCTGTGAATACACTCAACACCACTGAATCACACATTTTAAATGGATGAGTTACACCTCAATAAATATGTTAAAAGAAGAACCTCAAAGGACAAAACCTCCAATAAAACAATACCAAAATGAATACTGTATTCACTTAGGGCCATATTCACAAAAAAAAAAAAATACATACTTCTTGAGGGGGTGAATTTAGACAACAATTTTCTCTATCTTAAGAGAAACAATTACATTTTCAAATAACAAGAGAATACAGATTCCTCTGTAACAGGATGTTTCCTTGCCCGAACAATGCCACAGATTGGTATTGTACCCAGTTCTCCACAGGAACTCCAGGAATGAAATGAAGGGGAGCTAGAGAACACCAAGCCACCAATTTCAGGATGGGGTGGAGGGACAGAGAAAAAGGTCTGGAGAGGTAACATCTGAAATGCTAGTAGGGAGCCTCCTGGATGTCTTTAGAAGGGCGGCTCTGGGGATGGTTACTGACAGCTTTTGATGTGCAGACATGCTTTATGAACGCATGGTCCTGAGTAGACTTCATGTACTATTATTGGGGAGAACCAATTCCATTCCTGAGGATACTAAAAGCCCCAACGCAAATACAACCTAACTGATATTACATATTGGTAAACAGATCAGAGAGCACATAAGAAGAGAAAGGCATACCTCCCAGGGCATAGAGTAACTCCAACGCTTGAACCATCGACTGTGCTGGAGGCGGCTGGAAAATATAAAAATCCTCCTAAATTAATTTCTTCCAGTGACAGATAAAAATGTGACTATTTCCTGCTTAAATCCATTCTCCCCTCCACGTGCCCCATACTTCCCAACCTCCATGCTCCTGTTCCTGATGCTGGCGCCGCTTGAAATGTCCTTTCTCTCTTTCTCAGCATCCTTAGTACTGCTTGGTCTTTAAACTCAGCTTGACTGAACACTTCCCTCAGAAGCCCTTCCTCATGCTTCCCTCCATCGGAAGTGGACTACCTTCAACGACATCCTTGCTTCTCCTTAACTCTCATCAGACAGTTCTAATTTTAACTGCATGGTCTGAACCTTCTACACTGGAAGCCCCACGATACCGCAACACTGGCTGGTGATGGATCTTGGCGTCAGCCAGAGTCCTGCTCCAAGCTTTGCCTATGAAGGGGTAACTGACGTACAGGTGAATTTGAGCTCCTGAAAATAACAGAGAATGCTAGGTAATCCGAGGTCAAGCAAAGCTGATACTGTGACCTTCAGTCTGATTCTATAGATCCTTACCTCCTTCTTTCCTTTTGCAAATCTCTACTGAGTACCAACTAACTGCCAAACACCATTACTACTTTCTGCTAAATTTTGTTTATAAGCCACATAATAAAATGATAGTACTTTTCTTTTCTAAATGCATTCACAAAATAAACATATTTCAAGTGTCACACTGTTCTAGTCCAGTTTTAGAGATGAAGACAGTGAGTAACAATAACTAAAAGACGTATGAATACAGTCAGGTAAGTGGCTGGTGGCAAAGCCAGAAACTGAACTCAGGTCTCATTTTTTTCACTCTACCCCACCCACTGACAGCCAAGGAACAAAGTTGTACTTTTAATAGTTGTGATGACCGCACACACACACGAGACCTAATTCACTACGCAGAGGGTATTCAACGAATCATGGCTGACCAAATCATGGATTCACTAGCCCTTCCTCAGTGCCTCTGACGTCCGACTTTACAATGAGGCGAAATACAAAGCCCCTAAATGGAGGAGCTTAATCCCTCTGGGGATGGATCTTTTACCCTGAGCTCACATGAGATATGATAACAGGAACAGCAAAGCACTGAACTAGGTTTTGAATACTTACAGACAAAACTAACAAGGTCTTCTGTGACTCCTTTCAACCTTTGGCCCTATTTCCAGTCGATGACCAAGTCCCCTATTAAGTCTGCTCTTTGAATTTATCATCAATCAACAAAACAAAACCTCTCCCCTGTCCCCACAAATCTTAGCCGTGGTATTTTCACCTAAACACACATCTTTATGGCCTCATCTGTTTGGGATCATATACAACCACTGTTGAACACAGTTGAAAGGAGTGGGTACGCAGAATTGTAGCTCATTTTTCTCACTCTATGGTTTTCTGTTTTCATTGTGTCTTGTACCCATAGAAACTTCAGTGATTGCTTGGGACAGTGGCTTAACATTCCAACAAGGTCACACATTCTCTATAAAATAAGCAATCTTCTTACTACTGGGCAAATGAATCATTTTCAGCTCTTTGCTATTGTAATTAGCACTGCAAAATATACTAAATTACATGTACCCTGTGATTTCAATTGTGAAAAACATCATTTCAAGGGAAAATAACCAGAAGGAACTATATGAAGATAAATTTGTATGTATTCTCCTCACATTTCAGTTGTCCAATGTTTATGGTTTCTATTCTCTGTATTTTTTAATCTAATACAAAGTGATGCTATAAACATTACCACATGAACAATTTTTTCATCTTCATTTGAATTACCTTTTCAGGAGAAATTTCCCTGAGAAACACCAGGCATCCCTATAGCTCATCAAATGGCACCAGGAAGGCCTCCTTGAGGACCCCAACAGAGCATGGAGCCGCCTTCCCAAGCTGGTCAGCTCTGCCCTTCCCTGCTTCCCTCTGTGTTTGCTGATTTAATTAAAGTGGCACTTTACAGCTATTCCAGTTTGCATTTCTCTCTCTTCTAGAAAAGATGCCTATGTTCTGACACTTCCTTTGCTTTGGCTTTATCTTGAGTGATTACTAGATTTATTCTAATTGATGTTTGAAAACTCTTCAGTTATTGAGATGTTGATCCGTCATTGTCACCATTATGTTGTCCCTTAAACCCCCCACCCAGATGTGGTGTTTTTTTCATAAGCTTTTAATCTGCATTTACTGTTCCTTTTTTCTTTATAATTTCTTGTCTTATACACCAATAAAGGTCTATTTTCTCCACCCTTACTGAAGGATATATTTTCTCCATACTTACAATAAATCCACAGTTATTTTCTTTGCTATTTTTCTATTCCTTCATTTGCCTAGTTTATTATGACATATGTGACATTAGGGACTTTATTATCCAAGACTCTAGACTTGCCACACCACTTACCAATATGGCTGGGACAGAACGAAGAGTTAAAATGCAAGTCTTCAAATCATAAAAATTCAAGAAGAAAGAATGAGTGAATATTTATTAACTAACTGACCTAGATATAAGGAAGTGTTTCATAAGCACAGGAATAAGAAGCCATAGAGGCAAAGACAGAAAAACTTTACTGTGGAAATGTTTAGAATGTCCACACATTAAAAAAATAATAAATTTTAAAATCATAAAATACAAATAACCAGAAAAACTATTTGCAAGAAATACTGTAGACAAAGACTGTCTTTTATAGTTAAAGGACTCTTGAAAGTCACTAATAAACGCTAATTCTAACAGACAAATGGCTTAACGATGCAAAAATATAAAGTGGACAATAAACTTTTTAAAAAAACCATCTTATGAGAAATCAAAATAATAAGGTACAGATGGTATTTTTCCAACCTTCCTTTCTCCCCTCCCCACCATCAATCAAATGAGCAAAATTCTAAAAGAAAAATAATATGGCGTGATAGGGGCACAAGGAGGAGGGCATGCGTGCGCTGCTGGAGCTTATGCCTGTGCAGCAATGTGGCCACGTGTCAAGGACCTACAAAGCGGCTGTGGCCCTCTGACCCAGCAACTGCACGCCTGGGAGCCTGCCTCAGGAAGTAAGCAGAAGTGTAATCAGCCACAAGAGCCTTCCCTGCAGCTCTCCCTCTTGGCTCCCCGCACTGTGATATTCTCTCATGCAGGCCAGCAAACGTGCTCACTGTCCTGGACCTCTCCTCCCCTGTCCTGGCCTGGTGAAGTCCCACATGAGCTTCATGTCTCACCTCTGGCGTAACTAACGGGGTTGGGGGCCCTGCCTTTGTCTCTCCCAGCCCTGGGCACACGCGCTGTAGTTACCCATTACTTGTCTCTCTTCCCCAGCAGGCAAGAACAGGAATTGTGTCTGCCTCATCTGGCTGTATTCCCCTATACCCTGCACAGCGCCTGGTGCAAAGTTGGCACACAACATAGGAGCTAAGTGGGAAAAAGAAAAAGAAAAAGAAAGGTAGCATCCTCTCTAACAATGTCCTGACATTCCCCTGCAAGCACACCAGCCTCCCTACGGCCTTGGACAGAAGGTGGGACTTACCGACATGAAGTGGAACCTGAGGACGTTGTCAATTCCCAGTGCCTTCAGCTGTAGGATGACAGGCGCCAAGTTGCTCCGCTGCATCTCAGGAACGGTGGACTGAGGCAGCTTGTCAAAGGCTTCCTCTGAGGATAGGAAATGAGAACAGTTTGGGATCAAATGTCACAATCAAATGCAATCATTATGACTAAAGGACGCTCGTCCTTCTCTAGCAAGGGGCTCTAGGATTCCAGGATCAGATGCATATGGTAATAAGGTATGGTTATTTCATGTTTAAGGAATACCTTTTTACTTAAAAAATACTTTAGCAATTTATATCTTTATAAACAATATATCTTCATGAAAGTTTGTCCTTTATTTTAGGATGCTTTTTAAAAATGTGTTTTTTGTCAGCAACATTATAAATCAGAGCTACAAGAATTTGCTGAATCGCTATTGGTGCCCAGTTACCATCACCTCTGCTGGGGGTGAAGTAAGTAAAAAAGGCAGGAACAGTAAATATAAGCAAAGAACAACTTGAAAATAAATTACTGAAACAGTAACCAGGATATAACAAATGACCAAGTCTTATGAAGAGCAAAAACTGTCCAAATCTAACTTTTAAAATCAATGAGCCAAGCACACATGCCACACTCAGAACCGAACGGCTGTCCCAATTAGACTCATGAATGTGTACACGCACACCGTCAGGAACAAATGGTGACGCCTCACAGGAAAAAGGACAAGGCACAGACGCGCCGAGATTGTGAGGGGCAGGAGAATGGGGAGGAAGGGAGACTTTGGGGGACCTTCTTATAAAAGCTAGGCAAAAAGGGTGAGAAAAAAGGAGAAAGAGATTAAATCTATTTTGTATGTATTCAGAAAGCTTATGGATTATGTAGAGAATTCTTCACCCACAAAATCCTCCCACATAAGTCAACACTTAACTGTGCACACCCGCCTTCACCCAAGGGTGGCCGGCCCTCCTTCCATTTAGATCATTACGCTTCAGTTAACTAGAGAAAAAGCAAACCAAACAGCACTACCACTGATGAACTTCAGAAAGGTCTTCTCTGAGAAAACAGACAACCAATATTCTGTGGAGCGATGGATACAAATTGCCAAATGCATGGGTCTAACTGGAAGATTCTGGGTAACAGCCGACAGCAGGAAGTTTAAATGGGATACTGCCTTTGCATTTCAGGAGTATCTGGAGAGTAGTTTTTTGGTAAGATAACCACATCTTCCAAGTACAGTGCTAACCAAGGGAGAAATAAAGCTATCAGGTAAGAGGACAACCTCACTGAGAAGGCACTCACAGGAACTAAGTGCTTCCTAAGAGCTCAATGACACTCAGCTAAACTCCACTGAGGACTTGAGTGTGTGAAGCACTGGGCCATGAGCTGTAGGCGCCACAAGCCAATGGCTGTGCAAAGCTTCAGTGATATGAAGAGGTCTAGGACAAGACCAGAAACAGTGACCCTGAGACCAGGCCCCAATGCGTGGTTCACCCATGGGAAAAGGGACTCTTCGGGAGGGAAGAAGCCTAGCCATTGGAAGAAGACACCTGCAGTTGCTTAACTTGGGAGGTGCCATTTGAGAGAGGATTTGAATGATAAGCAGAACATGTTGGGTAGAGGACACAGTTCAAGGAAAGGCATCAAAAGCATGAGGGCTGGGTGTGGGAAAACAGATGGTAGGTCCGGGAAGAGTGTGGTTCAGCTGCGTCACAGCACAGGGGAGGAGTAGGTGGATAGCAGGAGAAGATAAGCTGAGAAAAAGTCATAGAAGGTTCTGAGAACCTCCTAAGGGTTTCAGAGCAGGTAACACCTTGCTCAGCCTGCACTCTCTGAAAGTTCACCCGGGAACAGGTTAGCCAAGAAAGCCTAGAGGCTGGATCTGATGCACCCCTTACTGTCAATGGGCCTACCCAACCCCACCTCCACTAAATGTTTTTTAAGTAGATAGAAACTTTCTCTTCCCTTGCATTTCAGGATGCCTTTTTACTCCCTTGGCTCTCCTCTTTCTACTCTCATCATTCCTTGTTAGCGCCTCAGTGGTGGAAGGCCCTTACATCGCTGGCCTCAGGTTCCGCCTTCCCCTCCCTCCCATGAATCCTCCTTACCCCCTTTTCCCCCTACCCCACCACGCACTTGTGCATTCCACCCCCTCTGTCTGGTGTGTTGAGATCTAACCTCCACGGCCATCCCTTCACCTGGATAACTGCTAGGCTGCCAATAACATCAGGCCCAAATACTTGACTGCGAAGCCCTCCACTACAGGATAACTAGGGAGTTAGCCTGCTCCCAAGGCTCATTCCTTTATGGCAACCCCACCACACCACAATATGTCAATGTTTGTGCCAAACACCACGTCTCGCCTAGCCCCAGAGCTCCAAACTCTGGCACCGCACCACGCATACAGCAGGTGCTCTGTAAACATTCGCCAAAAGAAAGAAAGATGTCAAGGACTGAACAAGGGCAATGGTAACCAGAAAGGAAGGAGATAAACAATAAAACCCCTGATCTGGTAAGTACTATTCATGGATATTGGACAGAGGAGGGAATTTAAAATGACATGAAAATGAAGTCTGGACAACTGAGAGAAGCCTTAGACCATCCCTCACACGAGAAGTACAGAGAAAGAGCAGCTCTGGGACAGCACTGTGGGAAAGCTCTGTTCGAGCTGGCGAGAAGGCTCCTTCCGGGCCGGAACAGTCTTGGCGGTATTCACCGTGCTCCCTCAGAACCTAGCATGGTGCAAGCACAGAGCAGGAGTGACCACCTCTCTGCTTTCTATCAGCGACTCACAGGGCAGATCTTGCCATTTTAGCCCAGCAGAGACGCTCTGACCGGAGGTAAAGATGGAACCCAATGTGGGGCCCCGTTGGATTCAGGGGCCCCAGAACAAGAAAACAGCACACTAAGTGAAGGGGAAGGTGGAGGAGACAGGATCTGAGACACATGGCCTAAGTTACGGGGGCGCATGGCTTAAGGCAGGCCTAAGCCCAAACACTAGGTCCGAACAGGGATGGCAAATAATTGGTGACCCATGGGCCAGCTTTGGCCAATAGGGAGCAAAGAAGTGTTACATTTAGAGAGAGGACGGTAGGCGGGGGGGGCGGGGACCAGGCTCCAGAGGGACACATGAGGGAGGTGTGGATTTTAAGTGAAGCCCTGCCCACTGAGGGTGAATACAGTAGTCTCCAGTGCTCAGGCAGGCTGAGAAAACCAAAAACGCATCCAGAGAGCCCCACTAACCTGTATAAAGGCGGTAACACTTTCCCGAGCGGTTGCGGCCAGCCCGTCCCGCTCGCTGGTTGGCGGATGCCTGGGACACCGGGACCACCACCAAGCACTCAATTGCTGTCCTGGGATTGTAGGCCCGGAGCTTCACGAAGCCACAGTCGATCACGTACACGATCCCGCTGATTGTGATAGAGGTTTCCGCCACGTTGGTGGCCACTATCACCTAGGCTCCCCACAGAAAGGAGAGTAGAAATAAAAGATACTTGGTTTTTTTCACTTTTAGTAAACTACTCAAAATCCTAAAAGATGAAAAGATAATTTCTGACAACCCAGAACCTTTAAGAGGCAGTTCGGCAGACTGGAAAGAACGGGAGTTGCAGGGTCAGGGCGCCCTGGGTTTGAATTCTCCCAGAGCATGTGACTTCGGACAAGCTAACTGACCTGCTGAGCATGGTTCCCCGTCAGCATAGTATCTGCCCCCCTCACAGGGTTTCAGAGGGATTATATAGGAAATTACATAAAGTGATTAGGGCCTGGTACTTGGCCTGTAGTAAATATGTGACAATGTTAGTTTTTGCCTTTTGCACAACCGAAGTCAGTCACCAGTGCACATATATTCATTTATTTGCTCACATCCCAGCTATTTCTGAGGGTCTGTGCTTTGCCAGGCACTATTCACAGTGCTGGGGATGCACAACAAACAAGAATGAGGAGACCTCTGCTCTCCCAGAGTCCAGTGTGAGTGTTTACATGAGTAAGTAATGAACATAAACAGGTAGACAATTTCAGAGAATGACAAATACTATGAAGAAAATACAACAGAGTAAGGATATAATATTACATAGTATTTAAAGTGTTTGTTATCCATGATAATACTGGGGCATGCTATTTTAGACTGGATGGCCAGGGAAAGCAGTCTAAAAGATGCTTTTGAACTGAGACCCGAATAACAAGAAGCAGCCAATACTATAGAGACTCAGGCAAAACTAACAGCTGATAGAAGGGAGAAAAGCCAGAACAGCCAGAATCCAGAGTAAGAACAAGATGAGGTTGGAGGCAGGCAGAGAAAGGCCACGCACAGTCTCCGGGCCACCGCGAGGTGTCTGCATTTTATTCCCAGTGCACTGGAGCTGCCCTTGGAGGATTTGTAGCAGTGGGGGACATGCGTAGATAGCACTTAGAACTTTTTAAAGGCCCTTTTTCATTGATCATTCCATAGAAATCTTCCTACCATTTTTATGTGTAGACATGTAAGATTTTATGCTAGAAAATCACCTATCTAAAAGTCATTGTTAGTCATGTCTTACGGCTGAGAACACCTGGCCTTGAGTCTGAGTAACTCAGCACAGCACTAGGGCCTCCTGGCTGGCTGGCTGTGGTTCATATTTCATGGGGCAGACTCACATTGCTCCAGCCCCGTGGCCAGGAGGCTGAGCACCCTCTTCCAAGTGGTCCGAACTGAGAGTGTATCATCTGACCATCCCTCAGCTACTGTCTTTTCTGCCACTTGTTGATAAATAGCTACTCTAAGCCAACCTCAGGCCAGTTCTGGGCCTTCCTCATCCAGTGGAAGAGAAAGGCGAGTAAGGCCCAGGGAAGGCGGCAGGAAGCAGACCGGCTGCCTGCTGGCTCCTTCAAACCAGTGCTTCCCACCACACCCTTCCACACCCCAATTTCAATGCTACATATTTTTAAGCCACGCCTTGAATTAATTGACTTAAACTTGGCTCTTCAGGCAAAATGATGCTTCAAACAAATGGTTTAGGAAACACTTATGATAACAGATTTATTGTTCGCAACTAATCACAATCCACCACCATGGTCCTTCAAGCAAAGGTAGTAATGTGTTAATGGGAAAATACTAGGCAAGCAGGAAAGAGGCCAGAGAAGTCACCTGCTCTGATAACTCCTGTCAGAGTGACACTTCTGAGGGTTCAGAACTCTGCAACACATTATTTACCGCGCACTTTTAGATCTAGTGCAGAGAAACATGGACCTAAAACTCTTAAAGAGGCTTGCCTGTATACCAAGTTTCATTTCAATCTAAAAAAAAACAAAAAACAAAAAATCTTTCCAGTGCACAGCAAAGGGACACCAAAATGCCTTTAGATGCCTGCGCCACCCTTGGTCATTGGGTTAGTCTCACCTTCCGGACACTGTGTGACACCCTTTCAAACACCTTCATTTGCTCAAAGGCAGGCAGTCCTGCGTACATGGGGAGAACCCTCAGGTGCCTCTTCATCCCAGTCCGACCGAGGGCCCGAGCCTGCTCGATCAGCATAGACACGGCAGTTTCCACCTCTTCCTGAAAAACATCAGGACAAAGAAGCCACAGTCAATATGAGGCCCGTCACTTTTCCAAGTGAAAGAAATGAAAGTTTGGGTCAGGATTTTAACTGTGGTCAGATTCATGACTTTCAGTGCAGTCTCATTTCACTCTGGGGTGGTATTTAATCAACTGCTACTGAACAATGGTGCCTATGGGGTGAAAATTTGCAATGATCAGGTTAATTAGAGAAATCTATACTATCTGCAGTAACTAGAAGAGCTCCTAATAAACAACAACAATGACTATTTAACTCTACTTTCAGGTGCTGTGACAAAACGCTGCATACATATGAACATGCTGTGGCATATACTGAACCGTGGAAAATGTTCCACAGTGGAAAGGACTGTAACTAGAGGGCAGTTCTGAACAGTGTTACAACCTGGAGTGAGCAGTTGGGTTTGTTCTGTTGTCTTTCCAGTGATGTGGCCACGTGGCACCCTCAGGGTAAGCTGTAAAGGTGTCACTGGGAAAGATGCGTGCAGCAACAACAAGCACACACGAAACGTGCCTGATAACAATGTTCATTTTCAGTAAGCAAAACAACTTATGGAATGAACTATGTAATATACTTTGGAATCAGCTAATAAATTAAAAATACATTTATTTGATCCTCTGGAGACAGAACAAGCGGGAGTCAATGAATAACTCTCTAACTATGTAGTCAGTAGATGAGTGATGTCAAACCAAACAACTTCTCTTTTTGCAATAAAGTAACCACAAAATACAATAAAACATGAAATAAATGGCTAAGCAAAATAACAGGCCTCTGTATTAATTTTGACGCTGCCTTAACATGTCTGTTCACTGCAGAATACAGGTCCGATGGAATCACCTGGCCAGTAAGAAATGCTAGTATGTCTCCATCTCCCTCTGTCTGGTGAATTTTCATCACGGTTTCTACAGCTGATTTGATGTAATCTGGAACAGGACTGAAAGATATATGGGATAAAGTCATCACCAGAATACACACGCTAGCTATATCGCTCAACCACCTGGCAACAGAATCTCATGAAAGTTAGTATGGGCCTGCCCAGCAGTAATCAGTACATGAATAACTAAAATAAGTATCCACTTTTTTCTTTTGTTTTAAATGCAGCATTTAAAAATAATTCAAAATTACATTTCAACTGTCATTTTTTTTTTTTTTTTTTTTTGGCTTGGCTTTATTTGGAAAGGAATAAAAATGATAGGCCATGGACATCGATGTGCTATATTCAGCCAGCAGATAGGTCTGGCCAACGCAAACGGGGCTGTTCCCAGGCCTGAACCCCACAGTCTTTCCACTTTCCCTCCCGTCTACTGGTGGCACGTCAGGGGCAGATGGAGCTGACAGGGTGCCGTCCAACCAGAACGACTCAGAAGGCAAGCCTACAGCTCTCTGTATGTATCAGCCCCTGTCTGTGTCCAGTGACTCGGTGTAGGAATTAGGATGACCCTCTTCCTGTCCAAGAGGGCTCCTCCCAAAACGGTCAACCAGGCCTTCTTGTTAGGACGTAGAGAGCTAGAATCAAAAAAGAGATCCAAAGGATTCAAATCACCAAAATCACCTCCACTGACAGTTTTAGAAACCCAAGTTCTGGAAACCATCAAGACGTCCTGTCCCCAACCTTGTTACCACTTTGCTCTTTCCTACTGGGCTACTAACCACAGATTCATAGAAAGTTGCACATCAGTGTCAAAAGTTCAAACTAACTTTGGCTGTGATACTGAGCAAGGTTCCAGAACATCTTATCAATGACAGAAGACACAAAATAATGACAGGAGACTCAGAATATTACGCCTCTCCTCACCAGCCTGGCATACTGCCCTTGGAAAACATTCAGTTGCTTCTCATTCCACAATACAAGCCTAGCTTTCTAACCACCATCATTAAAAATGTAAGAATCTTTGTAGAATCTCAAACCTTTGTAGATAAAAGATATCCACTGGGAATGTTCGCCCTTCCACTGTAAGGATCACACATGTATCCCTGGTTGGGTCACCAGTTTCATTTTGATTAAAGAAATCCCGAAATTTCTAAAAAAAAAAAAAAAAAGAAAGAAAAAAATCAACTCTTTATTCCTCAAAAAACATGGTTCATAGTAACTCATGGAAAGAAAGAGCATAATACAAAACTGGCAGAGCACAGGGTGTAGCAGGAATTGAATACATATAATAAAGACTGCAGGTTGCAAAATAGTTATTAAAAATCATTTTTATTATTGCAATTTTGAGGAATCATATTTCAATGACAGACTCTTTACTAAGTTTGATAAAAATAATAAAAATCAGATTTCAACACTGTATTCACTGATACATCTTAAGTTAACATGTAGCTATGGTATTATTTATCTTATCCTATTTACCCTCTATTTCATTTAACCAAAAATTATATCAAAAGGTGTGAGTCAAGTTAAACAGAGGCTAAAGCAGATTGATGTGTAGTTCTAATCTGCGAAGCAAAGATCTGATCACACAAGGTTATCAATCTATAAAGGAAACGTGTACCTCTATAAACAGCAGGCACGTTCCTGGTACCAGTTATAGACACAGATTTACTATACCCTTCCCAGCAGATTTTGGCTATTTTACGGCAGGGACAGTGCCTTCCCCACATTTCAATGCCCTACAGGAGTTAGCACAGCACTTTGCACGGGGTCGGTCATGCATTTATACTGCTCTGACACTCCCACTGCACCCTGTTGAGAGAAGTGGCTCTGGACCGTTCCTCCCAAATAGGTGGCCACATCCTCTTCAATGGCACTTGACTACCAGACTGGCAATTTATAGGGAGGCGTGGAATGAGAGCTCAGGCCAACACGGGAGCAGGGAGACACTAACAAAGATCCACTCTCGCAGAATGTGACCCAAGACACACACAGCAGCGGAGCCTGAGAAGAGCTGAGTGACCAACCTTGCTGGAGGGTGGGTGCGAGATGGGGAACCGCTGTGCCAGTGGCCGACGGGCCACAGACAACATTAGGCGGAGTGTGTCAGGATCTGACTCTCCATGCCCCGCCTGTCCCCCAGCTATCTGCCAGTGCTCCTGAGGCTCGGCCCGAGTTTTTGTCCCCCCAGGGGGCCTAACTCTGGGATCGCAAGTCCTGTCTTTACCTCCCCCAGGTATCTTTACTAAGCACGAGCATGCCTGCTCTTGGAATCTTGTGCCCAGGGGTACACGGCATCAAGTACAAAATGAATAGGCTTGAAGGAGCATTAAGAGTCGGCTGGATTTAACTACAAAATCCGGGATACTATACGTTAACCTCAAAGTTGTGTTTGAGAAGAGTTAGCACAGACATAAAAGTGCCTCATGCCAACAAAGAACTACCCTGAGCTATGAAGAACCACATGGTACCATTCCTCCTTCCCTGTGGGGAAAATTCCCTCTGAGTGACTGCAGCCTTCCTGTGTCCTGTGATGTAAAGAGCACAGGCACACCAGCAGGGACGCACAAACAGTGGGAAGAGCCACGCCCCAGTGCCTCAAAAGAGCGAATAATCCAGGGGGGGCAGGTGTGCAAAGAACCAGTCATAACATAAACCAAGGCAGAATGACTAGATGACCAGGGAAGAGCTACAAGTTACAACTGAAGACAATGACAGGTCAGCGGCTGGCTCCCAGGGAAGGCACCACGGAGGGGGCTGGCTCCCATGGCTAAGCCGTGATGGACGACCGGGAAGAAGAAAAGGGACCGCTCCCCAGGATGACGGCAGAGCGCAGACCAAGGTGTAAAGGGGCCCCTGACAGAGGACAGAGTCCAGCGTTCAGGGCAGACCAGCCGGGATTCTGAGTTGGCCCCTGGTCTACAAAACATGCAAACAGCTCTCAACCCTGCAAGACTGTTAGGTGGTTCAAACAAAGCATGACCTAGGATGAGTACACAGTAAGTGACTGTTATCACTCTAAAGGGGCCCCAATGTCCTGCTGCAGGGCACTTTATTAGAGGGGCAAGACAAGGAGAGTGGGGGTGGGCACATTGTCAGACCTGTGCCCTGGATGCCTGGCTCTGGTGGCTCTTTTGGAGAACGGCAGCTGGGATAAGAGATTGGAGGCCAGCAGACTAATTAAGGAATCTGTTGTAACAGCTCAGGGGAGAGAAAATGAAAGTGTGAACTCAGGCGGGGCGAGGTGAAAGCGAAGCATTCCAGAGGCCAGGTCGGATGGGACCTGGCAAGCAGGGAGTGCGAGCACACGCCAGCGCCAGCCCCGGCTAGCAGGGAGGATGGAATTAACTCTTACTCAGTCAGGACCCCAAGCAACGGAAGTTCCGAGCCCAAACGACTGTAACACTGAGAAAGGAACTGCCACAGAGAAGCTGAGAGTCACAGTTTGGTATGGAGTCACAGGTCTCCGAGTTTCAATGGTCCACGACTAACCAGCAGCTGGCGGCTCCGGTGAAGCGCAGGCGCACCAGTCAGGACAGCCTCAGGCACAAAGGAGGTGGGCAGCCTGAAGGAGGAAGGGCAGCCAGCAAAGCAGCCCAAGCGGGGGCCATCAGGGAGGCCAGAGAGAGGGGACAGAGGGCTCCAGAAGCACAGGTGGAGGAGGAGGATTTTCAGGAAAGCTCGACAGAGAGGCTTTTTGGACAAAAAGCCAAGCAGAACAGGGAGGGAGCTGATGCCTTAACAGTGTTGTTGGAATGCACGGCTACCCCTTAGCAGCTCAGGAATATGTGTGCTGAAGAGTCAAGATGGAGTGTTACTCTTTCAAGAAATAAAAATTCAGCATTAACTGAGAAGGCATAAGATCTTAATCCTTTAGATCTTTGTCATTTCTCTTTATTTAGAAATATAAAATACATAAAATTACAGGCTAGAAAGCAAATAAGCATAGTGTCAACAGTGTAACCATTTTGAGGCAGAATGAAGGAACTGGAATAGTGAAACAGGTTCAACATTCCTGGAAAAGGAGAGAGAGTTAGAGAGTCAGATTTGAAAGAGGTGGAGTCATACTGACACATAAGAAACATAAAATGACATAAAGGAAGAGGACAGCCTACGACATGGAACGTGCAAGATGTGGACATGTGCTGGGCTGTCCGCCCAGCCTGCCACAGCCTCCTTCCCTGACACACAGGAGTGGGCTTCCAGCAGCCAGGCCTACACAACACGTCCGCCCCGGGCCGACAGGCCTTGGCCTGTGCAGATTGGTCCCAAGTGGGTGCCTGCCTCCCGCTGACCCCAAATTCCTCCCCTAGGAATCTGGAAAGAGAAACTAGTATCCTCCCAAGAAGCTGGATCTGTGACAAAAAACTGGGAGTTGTCAGCAGTCCTGTTTTCTGCCACGTGGATAGAAGCAAATAAACAAAACAAAACAAAAAGACAATAGCATGTGATACAATGGTCAGTAAATACTTCGCAATTATACCTGGTCAGGTTTTCCGTAATTGCTTGCTTAATTAGGCTTACGTTAACAAAGCAGCTACGCCCTGAAGGCAGCTCTGTGACCAGCCCCCGCACACTGCCTGCCTCGCCGCCCAGCCACAGTCACTGAGCATCCAGAGCAGGTGACACCATCTATGCCTCCAGGCAGCGGGGCTTGGAGTTAGTCTGTCACCCACAGGTTCAGCAGCTGAGGGTCCAGGGGTAGGTTCTGACACCCCGGACTTCTCCATCAACTGCTACCTAAGCCACACCCTTCCCCACTCCCACGCCCACTCCTCCTCTTCCTCCCTCACCCTCTTCAGCCCATTCCAATCCTCTTCTTCACTCTCTTACTCTCACATGGGAACTTGGAAACCACGCCCCACGTGCATCCACACTCGCCCACCCCGCACCCTCACTCCCACGGAACTGACTCATGCCTCACACGGGCACAGGCCTGCCCCCCACCCCACACTGGGCCGGGCAGGGAGGAAGGGGTGAATGGCTCCCGCCCACCAAGGGCCAGCAGAACACTGCCAAGGCCCGGCACGCCTGCATCGTAGCATTCCCACGCCATGACAACTTCCTACACACCACTTTCCCACTTAAAAAAATGACTTCCAGACAGTCCGTCTATATCAACTACTGTAGACAGAACTGAAAGACGCTATTTTTTAAAATCTCTATGTCACACCAAAAGACTATAAAAGGCAATTATGAACAGTAAATATTACTTAACCATCATTCTAAAAAAAGGCTTGGACCTGATAGCTTTCAAACAATAAAAATTGTTGGGAATGATTTTTTAAAGATGGGGTCAATAACAAAGATAAGACGTAAAATAGAGATGTTTTGTGCAACTTAGCCACTAGGGAGGTGGCAGGAGGAGAGACCTGGTATGGTCCCCAAAAGAGCCTCCCAGCAGGTACCGTGGGTCAGGGGCATGAGAATTAATCACGGAAGGCAACCGAGGAGCTTGAACCCAGAAGTTACCACAGGCAGACCTAAGCCAGCAGACTCCTGCGGCCTGTGAGAAGGTCAGAGAAAGCAGTCAGGGCACATGCACAGACACCTCTCTCGGCCATTCCCAGTTTTCTCTCTCCAAGTTGTTTGGAACCTGAAGCCACAGGGAGGCCAGGAGCCAGGAACCAGTCCTTTCTCATGTCTCAGCTGGACTATAAAACGGGCCTCCTGACTGCCATGTCCACATCTCTCTCGTCTCTTCCATACAGCATCAAAGTGATCTTCCTAGAACCCAAATATGGTCACGTCACACACCTCACGCCCTCCCAGGGGTCCCGACCAGGTGCCGGATGGTGCCCTACCTCCTTCAGGTGGCTCGTGAGGCCTTCCATCATCTGACTCCCACCAACCCTTCCTTTTTAATCTCCCACGGTTTCCTCTTCAATCACAATCCATTCAACCCACAGTGCCTCCTTTACACCAGACACTGTGTTAGGTAAAAGGGATAAAATAATGAGGTAGATCATCCAAGTCTCAATCTTTGGGGCGCTCACTTTTTGTGATGAGAGACATAAGAAACAAACACTTGTATGTGTGCCTGATATGAGGTGGTGGTAAGTGCTAAACAGAAAAATATAAACAGAGTAAGAAGGTACACAGCAACAGAGGCACTATTTTATACACAGAGGTCGAGAAAGACTCCTCTGAGAAAGTAATGTCTGACCGAGACTGGAATGAAGCGAGAGTGGAGCCTTGAGAACGTCTACGGGAAGAATGGTCTAGAAAGAGGGTCCCTCCCAGAGCAGAAGCATGTGTGGGTTTTTCTGAGGAACAGCAAGGGGGCCACTGAGGCTGGAGTGTAAGGGACACTGGTGAAAGTGGAAGTCAGGGGCAGATGACCCCGCGCAGGGCCCTACAGGTAAGATGCCCCCCTTACACTCGACTCCCAGCCCTGTGCACACATGGTCTCACACGCCTGTGCTCTGCGCATGCTCAGGATGCCCTTCCCTCCCCTGCGCACCTGACAAACTTCTGTGCACCTTTCAAGCCCAACTGGGACGTCCCTTCCGTGAAAGCTTCTGGACACCCTTGAGCCAGCTGGAGTTAGGAACTCCTACCCTGGCTGTCTCAACATCTTGGACGTACTAAACGGTAAACACCTATTTATTTATACACACACACACATTTATAGCAAGAGGCAAAAATTACTTGTGAAGTTGAACTGCTGTTTGAACTGAAATATCAGTTGTTAACAGAGAATAATGTAAACTTAGCCATAAAAATTATAGTATGGAGAAATTACTCTATGTACAGGGAAAACTTCAATTGTACAAAAATTCTAAATATAAATGCTATAGTCATAAATAAATGCAAGATATATAGCCACATAGGAAAAAAAAAAGTAAAAAAGAAGCTGCCTGTGAGAGGAGAAACACAGTATGTGGAGAAACAAGATGAGTAGGTATTATGAACTCAATTAATTACAGGTTAAATTCCGCCCCCAGGCTGAGAAGGAGTCTCCTCCGATCCTACAGAATCTAGGTCATCAGATGGCCCCATAAGGAAGGTGGGACAAGCTGCCACAGATGAGCTCCTGCTAGAAGTAACTTCCCACAGCTACAGCCAATGATTCCGGGGCTCACGGGGGGCAAGGGAAGAGGGGAAAACGTTCTCACCTCTGCATCCAGAGTGGCTGAAGCCACGATCAGTCGAAGATCCCCTCGCTTTTTCTGAATCTAAAAAGAATGCATCATGAAACAATGATAACTGTAAAATTTATGGACAAGGTTTGATATCTGGAATTGACATCCTGATAGTTCAGTGTGTCTATTTTTGGGGTGAGGGAGAGCTTACAGATGAAACAAGCCTGACTACAAGCTGATAATTACTAAAATCATAGGTACAAATAGGGTTTATCATTCTATTCTTTCTAGTTGTATAAACATGTAAAACTTTCCAAAAGAAAGAATGAAAAAAATTGTATATAAAGTACAAAGGAGCTTTAAGGACTGAACCTGAATTCACTAAAGTCAAAGTGGGGTCTCTGGACAGTCAGGATCTGTGTACACAGGATGGGGGGGACACAGGGTTTCAGTTGTCAGTACAAGAAACAGTTTATTCTTGTATTACTATTTATTAATTATATTATTTTCCATATGAACAACTGTAAACCTACTTTTGCCCCACATGTATATAAAGTGTAAAAAAGTGCTTTAAAAGCAAACAAACAATAAACAGTAACACCAAGACAGAAATATGGGTAAAAGATATTAACAGTTATCAGAACAAATAGATGATTAACAAGTGTAGGAGAAATGACAAATAAACTATAGTAAACATATATAATAACAATGAGATTACTTTTTTATCTATCACACTGGCAAAGATCTATTTTTTAAGGCCAATATCAAGTGTTGGCCAAGATTCAGTGAAATACCATACATTGTCGTGTATAGTGCGCACTTTTTTGCACAAACTTTTGAGGGAAAAATAAGATGCGCATTATACATGGGCAGTACCTGAAATCCCTTGTACCTAGTCCTGTGTTTTGCAATTATTTGTTACATAAAATTTCTTGTACCATAATATGTTCAAAAATAAATGCGAAAATTCCTTTATAATACAAAAAAGTATCTAAATGTAAAGAAATAAAAAATTGAATTAAAAAATTAAAACAAAAGATTTTTTTCCTGAAAGTTTGGGCCAAAAACATGGGTGCACATTATACACAGCAAAATATGGTAACCCCTCTGATCGCACTGTTCCTAAGAAGGTATAGTACAGGAGAAGCTCTCATCCACATCAAAAGTCTAAATGTTTGGCCAAGGAATAAAATAATAAATACTAAGTTCTGTACTATTCCAAGGTCCCCGAGTACCACCGTGTAGTGTACACACTGCACAAAGACACCGGGTGAAGGAGGCAAGAGCATCAGAAATCCAGCCCGCCTCCCCTCGCCCAGCTGGGGACATCCTCTGAGCGGGAGCATCTTCTTCTAATTTGCACAAAGGTACCTCCGAGTCTATTTGTGGCCCTGTGCCAGGGGGCATCCTAAGGATTTTACACTGTCTTATTTAAGCCTCACAGCAGATTACAACACAGAGCAGCTTTGTGCAAGAGGACTCTCTTCAACATGCAGAGGTTCTGTCCCATGCAGTGGTCACTCAGCACAGCCAGTGTGACTGAGGACTGAATTTTTTATTTTATGCTACTTTAGTCAACTTAAATCTCAGGTGGTCAGGGCTACCATACAGGAAAGCACACCAGCGCACGCAGAGACACTCCCATCGCCCCCATTTTAGAGAGGAGGACGCCCGGCAGTCAGAATGTGAACCCAGGCAGTCTGACCCCGAGTCAGTGCTTGATCACTCTGCTCCACCGTTTCTTTCTAGACTCCTGTGATTTGGAATGTGTCCAAGGAAAACAATCAGAAAATACAAAAGGAAAAAAAGCAGGGATGGGGGAGAGGATGGAGAAAAGGTTGAAATGAGACTGGCCACGAGTTACAATTATCGAAGCCAGATGATGGGCCTATGGGAGTCATTAAACTGTCTCTTTATCTGGGGTATATTTGAAACTTTTTATAACAAAATGTTTTTAAAAAATAAAAGAAAAAAACAGGAACGCAACGATTTCATGACAAGGGTCCTCACTGTGACACTACTTAAAATACTTCAAATCTGGAAGTCTAACAGTAAGGGAAAAATCAAATACTTTATGGTAGAGGTGCGATTCTATAGCCATTAAAGATAACATCTTCAAAGAATACTCAATGAGAGAAAAATGATCTTGATGTAATGTTAAAAGAAATATGCAAGATACAAATTAGTACATACAATCCAGTCCCTACTGTGCCAAAACAGACGCATGTACACACACACACACACACACACACACACACACACACACACACACAAAAGAAGAGGACATACCAACATTCCATCGGTGATTGTCTCTAAATGAGTAGGATTAGGATTATGTGTAATGATTTAAAAATTTTTTCCCTTCATTTGCCTCATCAGGCAACAAAACAAAAACATAAAAACAGATGTCTGGCAGCGAAGCCATACCTTTTTCAGCAAGCCGATGGCAATGTCTGTGTACAGGGTCCTCTCATGGGCTTCATCCAGCATGATGGCGCTGAGAGGAGGGAGAGCTCTGTGAGCATCCAGACCCCCCCCGCCAGCCACCACCCCACACAACCCCATCCAGATCATCAAAGGGATATTGGTATTTACCCCGTGCAATCACCTTGTATCAAAATAAAGCCAAGTAACTCCTTTCTGACAAGGAGGTAACTCTTAAACTAATAAAAAGGGTGACACTAACATACCCCAGTGAAGAAAATGGTGTTTTCATTGCCATCTTTTTAGAGTGTTACCACCCATGCCCTGGCCGGGTGGCTCATTGGTTGGAGCATCATCCTGTGCACCAAAAGGTTGTGCGTTCGATTCCCAGTCAGGGCATATACCTAGGTCTCTCTACCCATCCCCCTCCCCCAAAAAGTCAAAACATATCCTTGGCTGAAAAATCTTTTTAAAAAGCATTTTCGAAAAGAGTTTACCACCCACACTGGATTCCAACAGGATCTAAAACCTGATTTTAAATATATGTATAATATATACAATACAACATAACCCCATTGAGCGTAAGAACTGGAACAAGGTCCAACCACTAAAAGATGGTTAAGCTGCAGAAAATACAGTAACGCAAAGCAGTGCATGATCATAGGTGTGTTGCATGTGTGCCAGGGAGCCAAATGTGACATCCCTTCCCAGAATCCCAGAGCCTAGATAGGACAATTTTAATGCCTGGAGTGATACACAAAGACACACGAGGAGGGAGAAGGGTAATTATTTGGACTCTGGAATCATTCAACAAATGCTGCCCAGTTCTGTGCTGCGACTTTCCAGGCACCAGTAATCCCGGATGTAAGATGCAAGATTAAAAGAACAAATCAACAGATGTTCAAATAACATCAGGGTTTTTAATTTGCCCTTTTTTGACTGTTATTCTGAGAAAGACGTCAAGGGTCTAAACAGCAGGGTAAGGACAAAAGCTTTAGGGCAGCTGAACAGGGATGTGAACCCCAGCTACTAATACAACTGCCTTTCAACCTACTTGTGTACTCTTGAAACTTTAGGAAAGTTACCGTAAGAAAAAGACATTTACCTATATTTTGTTAACAAAGGATCAACCATCATTTCTCTGACCAACATTCCATCAGTGAGAAACTAAAAAACAAACACATAAAAAAAATTAGAATTCATTTATACTGTATGTTAATGATTTTTTTTCCTAAAAAGTTCCAAGTGCCAGTAAACAACTTCTTCACTAGCATGTGTGTAAGACAATCCCCACAAAGACAATGAGGAAATACCCTAGCATTTTAGTTACCAAGGAATGGAACTGCTCACAAACAAGACTTCAAACAGGAGATCTCCAGCTGGGGTCTGAAATTCTTTTAGCCAAATTTCACCTGCACTTCCTGTCTGAATGTGGGCTAAGCCTCATCTCCTCTGGGCCCGCTCCACAGGTATTGCTGAACAGGCCGTAAAAACAGACCTGTGCCTGCCCAAGGAAATGCCACGAGTATGAGATAACTGTTCTTAAAATGTCCCAAAAACTATGGGCTTGCAGCTCTTGAGGTAATTAACTTCAACTTCAACTGATATTGCAGGGAGGCTGGAAGGGGCCGTGGTTAAGAGCACAGGCTAAGGCGTCAGACTGCTGGGGTTCAGATCTTGGCTGCACCTCTTACCAGCTGTGTGAACCTCGGGCAAGTTACTTAACCTCTCTGAGCCTGATTCCTCATTTGTAAGATGGAAATAATAAAAGCATCTCCCTCAAAGGGTTACTGTGAGAGTTAAGATGGTAGATGTGAAGTGTTTAGCACAGGGTGCAGTACACAGTGTTCAAGGTTGTCAGCTGTTATCACTTAGGATTAATGAATGTTTATAAAGTACCCTGGAAATATGCAGCAAGAATTAGATATTGTTACTCTCACCCAAAAACGGTTCGGGGCTCTAGCAGCACTGAAGAGCTAAAACAGCTCCCCTCCATGCTGCTTCTCAGTGTTTTTCCTTTTTGCTTATGAAAGCAGGATGCATTCCCTTAGTATTTTTCTTGGAACTGGTACCAGCTGCCACATAAACACCGTGGAATGAAATTGAGAACCAATGACAGGCCACCAGTTAAGAAGTGAGTGTGATGAAATTAGGACTAAATGCAATACAAAAGCTGTTTATGGAAGATTTAAAAACAGTCATTTGGTTATATAATCCACTGAAATTTACCTAAAAACTAGCTAGTTTAAATATATTTAATGGTACAGAAGAATATTCCCTTTACGTACTAAAATGAGTGTAAAGGTAACAAAATACAAAATTTGGAAAACAAGGTCCATATTTTTTACTAATCACTACATTGTTCATTTAGCTCACCTGATTATTTCCCATTTTCCTCTGCCGCAAATTGAACAGTTAACTGAAACTTTAATAACCAATTTTCATTTCATCAGAGCACATTCATTCATGGCTTTAGAGTACTATTTGATTAAACTTCGATTCCAGCATACTGGTATGCAGTAAATACTCTGTTCAGTTGACTATATGCTATTATTATTGACACTAATTATTCTAATATTAGCATGTAGGTCACATGCTATTATTAGCATGCAGAACACAGAGGTAAAATCCATTATTGCATAAAAATTAGAAAGTTTTAACTCGTAAAACTAAATTCTAACCTTTATCAATGTATACCACCTAGTGTCTGCTTTTAGGCCTATTATAGACAAGTTTCTATATTTTAACAGCACTGTGGATCGGTGGGAAAACAATAAAACACACATAAGAAAGGACAGCTTTGAGTTCTGATTCTACCACTGACAGGCACGTCACATTAGGCAAGTCATCCAGCCTCCCCAGCCCGCAGCCTCTTCATCCACAGAACCAAGGCCTTAGCCTTACTTTTCCAGGGCCAAGATTCAAGGCCCTGTACCTCCCAGCAGACTGAAGTCCCTGAGGGCCACGGAATGGGTGTCCTGTGAGCAGTAATGCTGTACGTTTTTAATTCCCCCCAAACAATCATCCCCCCTATTTACAACAGGAAAAGCAGCTGGAGGACCTCACCTTAATCCTGGTGGCCAGCGGGTCAGTGCAGTCGTCAAAGCGGATGCAGTAACCCACCTCATGGCCCAGCACTGCACCCCTCTCATCGGCCACTCTCCCCGCAACCTTTGGAAAGAAAGATCATGCTGAAAGCAGAGACATAGAAATTACTGCACAGAGCACACACCACAGAAAAGCTACAGGTCACTATTTTTAAGATTTTATTTATTTATTTTTAGAGACAGGGGAACAGACGGAGAAAGAGAGGGAGAGAAACATTAACGTGAGAAAGAGAAATATCAGTTGGCTGCCTCCTGCACCTGTCCAGGCATGTGCCCTGACCAGGAAACGCACCAGGGACCCTTCCTTTTGCAGAACGACACTCCACCAACTGAGGCACGCCAGTCAGTACTAAAGGTCAGTTGTTTCGAAATGGCATGTGAACACAATGGAAAATGAAAAGAAAAGAGGCAGGTTACCAGAGACCAAGTTTGATAACCTTTGTGATTTACCGACTTTATATATCTCACCTCATGCTAGAATCAACTTGCAGCAACTTATAAGAATATACACAATACACATGGAATCACATAAAGATGTTCCAGATCTACAGGATCAAAGAAATGACAGATGAAATTCAAAAGATTCAGGCAAATGAGAAAATTTTTAAAACACAGATACGCCAAAGTTATTTAACTTGAGCTACAAATTCAGCTAAATTTCCTGGTGGCCAAAAATCACAAGGTTCACTCTGTTCCTACAGCCTTCCTTAGCATCCTGCCTGGGCACAAATTTCCCGGTCTTCATGCCTTCAAATAAAGCACCTTCCACGGGCCCCTGGACCGTGAAGGCAGGAGGGCAGCAATGATCAAATTCAATACCAAACCAAATTCATTTTCTCTTTGGAGGAAAAAGAATACTGTTTCCAGAGCAAGATAATCTGAAACAATCAATGTGCCACAGTGTCCCAGCTACCAAAACCACTGAAAGAGGAAATAAAAAATGTGGATTAAAAATATCAAAGGGCAGCTGAGCCTATGACAAGACTAACCAGGGATCCAAGTTAGCTTAATAAAGTAAAACTAGAAAACAAAATGCATAATATATTATAAAGACCATGAATTTGGTAACTTTTCACCCAATATATGACAAATAAAATGTGAGTATGAGAAACAGAAAAAAATCCAACAGCAAGACGTCCTACTTCCCCAAGGATAGTCAAAGGTTATTAATTTATTCATAGAATATATTTGAAATAATAAATAAATATACAAGTAGAAGATCGATAAGCTTATAACTTACTTTAAAAATAAAATAAAGAGTGTAACATTCACTATTTAAATTACTGGAAAGGACCAAAGGAAAGCAATACCATAGAGCAGGCATATCTAACCTCTTGATGTCTCTGGCCCACACTGAAAGAAGAGTTGTTTCGGGCCACATATTAAATACACAATAACAAAAAAAAAAAAAAAATCATGTTTTCAGTAAATTTACAATTTTGTGTTGGGCCACATCCATAGCCATTGCGGGCCGCATGCGGCCTGCGGGCCATGGGGCTGGACACCCCTGCTACAGAGGTTTCCTGAGGACCTGGCACACCCATCCTATACGAGACAAGTTCCCCACACCGTCCCCAAGTCCTGGGTTTGGAACGTGGGCAGTTACAGGACGTGTCCTGAAGCAGAGTTTACTGCTGCAGCCACGGGGCCACAGCCGCTTCAGGCTCAGGAGCCCCGAGTCTCCCTGCACACAGCTCCCCACGCCACGCACACCTGGGGTTATCTGGCCATCAGTGCTTAAGAAACTGAAGAGCAGGTGAGGATCAGAGGTGACTCTGCCTAATGACTTGAAATTACAGATCTGGTAGGTCAAAACAGATCAATCATCCAGTAGCTGGTCTACACCACAGTCTTTCAAAACATCTTAGGAAACCCGAAATTCATCCTACACGGCTCTACCTCTGCAGGTCATGTTTATAGATACCCAGTATTTCACCAGGACTGTTGTTATTGTTTTTGTTTCTATTTCAATCCTACAGAACGTTATACAATAAATCTCAGAAAATGGTACAAATGGAAAATATGCGCACAGAAATACTAGGAGCTGATCGGGAAAATAGGCTTAAAAGAATGAGTAAATGAACCAAACCTCTTCATAAAAATATAATCATTTTATGGGTCTATATGGGAGATGCCAAACCTATTTAGTCCTATTATATCACTATTAATATATATTTGCTATAAAAAGTATGTATTTTATTTTCAAACTCTGTTAAAACATGTATTTATGATCATACCACTTGATATTTGAAAGGTCATAATCTATTGGCTTTTTACCTCTATTAAATTCTACAATATTCCCAATAACCTCATCAATTTGACTAAATAAATATTATCTTTTTGACAGAAACAAATAAACATAAGAAAAGCGAGGTAAAAAGAAAAACCAATCACTGAGCACCTACGGCCTGCAAGTACAGTGCTCCAAGCTTTCACAAATTGCATCTCATTAAATATGTACACAGCCTATGAGGTGGCCAAGATATCCCCCTTTTTACAAAGAAAGAAATGAAATAAGACAGGCTTAGAGCTTGTCCAGAATCATAGCGCAAGGCAGGGTCTGGCCTTGAAGCCAAACCTAAACCATCTAGGCCCCATGGACATGCTCAATAGTAATTGCCTCTCACAGAGATCAAGCAACTGCTTATGCAATCTGTTCTTAGGCTTCGAGATTGTTTTCAGATTTCAGTCTATATACAAAATACTTCTGAGATGTAGTATTTCAAAACTGACAAGTCTATTAATATTACACGGTTAACATATACACTTCAGATTTCTTTACAGAGAAAGCATGTTGTTTCATGGAAATTATCCATGGCTATAAATTTGGAGTTAAAATGCAAACTGATTAAGAGCTGGGATACCAAACCATAAACAGGAAAAATTTAAGTAACTGAGTCATCTCTTGTGGCATAAAAGGTTAAGTAGTTTCCAAACTGTTAACTCCATTTTTACACACACACACACACACACACACACACACACACACACACACAAGACTTGGAAAATATTTATCAATAATTTCTAACTCGAAAACAATTAGAAAATGAACTCTGGGAAAAAAGATTACACAATAATTAAAGCTCAGTACACAGCAAAAATGACTCAGGAAATAGAATTAATTCCTTGTCCAGATAAAGATGGCCCTCTCTCAGAGCTGATTTAAAACAACGAAAGAAATAAAACATATTATCAACCCAAACCTCCACCCCAATGAAAGAAGGAAACAACCAGGAGCTCAAACAATAAGTCAGGAAGGACAGCTGCCAGAAGCTGTGAGGTCTGAATCCAGAAGAAAAGCCCCACCTCCTCACAGCCAGAGCTGGCAGCTGGCTCCCTTAACGTTGGTATCGCTACCCGACAAACCAGGGCTGACAATCCTTGTACTAGGAACACCTAAGCGGCAGGCAGCGCGTTCAAGCTCTGAAGACAAAGGAAGTGTCTCAGTGGGGGATCGACTCTGACAGCAGAGAATCACAAAGGAGGGAGGGCTGAGGGGGAAGTCCAGCCAGCAGGAGCGAGCCGCAAATCCCAATTCAGAGGGCCTGGAGAGTTTTATCTTGAGCCACTGCTGACCTTTTCCATCATTAAGGAGCCATTGCAGACCTCTTCCTCATCCTCGTCCTTGTCCCCGCAGCAAAGGGGGATAGATTTGGTGAGAGGCTGTTCATTGTCCAGACCAGTACAACCTCACAACTCTGCAGCCATTAAAAGTACTAACACAAGCCCACTGCATTAAAGCTAACAAAGAAAGGAGGAAAGAAAAGAATGTAAGCAAAAGAGCAGTTTAAAAGGAAACTTTAACAGTTTCCCCCACAAAATGAACAGAAGTAGAATTCAGCCAAAAAATTCCACTTTCAATGAAATCACAAGCTTCAGCTAAAGACAAGGAGCAGGTGCAAAGGCAAAGAAGAATCAGAGAAACAAGGTCTCAAATGTGCAGATCAGAAGCCAGACTGAAGACATGAAAGACACTAGAGAGGCTTTCCCCGAATTTGGGAAGAAGTCCCTAAAATTTATACAGTCCTATAAATAGCCACTTACAAAATTAAAGAAACTTTTCCACAGTGTCAATAGTAAAAAGTGAATCTGAATCGACCATGCTGGAGTAACTTGAAAATATTGCTATAGCTCTTTCTGTAGGAAAATAACAGAAAATCATCGTCATGTGAAGAGGTGATCAATGGAAAGGCAGCCAAAAATTGCATGAAAAAAAATTTACAGAATGTGTCAGGCAGTTAATTAATAAAAGCGCTGTTATTTTTCTCAATTTAAAAATGTTTGTGGCATTATCTGCTTTTAAAAATTATAATATGTCTCCTCCCATTCTAAATATTCACTTACCTATTAAGAAAAAAAAACTCAAAGAAATAATTACGAGACCCAGGTAGAGATAAAGAAATCAAAACAGAATAAATGTGACTAAAAACAATCATGAACATTGTGGACAGGCTTAAGGAAATCTCACAAAACCGAGCAGAAAAAAGCAAGGGATTGATTGCAGAGATGGCGATAAATACTAAAAATAAACAAAGGAGATCCAATATATACTTAACAGATACTCTTAGAAAAATAATAAAATAAATGTAACAGAAAAATATGCCGAGATATAATAGAAGAAAACCTGCCTGATAGAAGAGATTGGAACCTGAAGATTAAAAGTTCTTCCACATTTAAGAAAAAATTAGACAGCAATCAGCATCAAGGCATATCCTGGGGCAAAAACAACCTTAAAAGCATTCAAGCAGAAGTACGCCAGGAAGTAGGGCAGAAAACCCCTGCTGGACCTGAGACTTCTGTCCCACGATCCTCCGTGCTAAAAGTCAAGACAGCAATGTCTGCACAGTTTCCAGGGAAAGAGAGTGGAATCAAGAATTTAATATCAACAAAGAACACAATCAAACATTCTCAGGCATATAACATTCAACTAATCAAGAAACAAAGCAAAATGAGCGATTCAAGGTTGGCAAAACAATGGAAATAATTAATGATGAACATTAAAACTAAACTGGAATTAAAGGCCTGTAGGAGTTATGATTACAGAAAAGAATGTATATTTATAAACCTTGAAATAAAAATTATAACGCTGTATATATAACAAATGGAGCAGGAAAGATGGAAAAAATAAGCGTGCTAATTTGCTCTTATAACAGGAAACTACCTACAACATAGTTTCAAAAATAAATAACATCCTAAAGCTTTTTCTAATCTTTTTTGTTTTTAAGATTTAATAAATTCCCTTGTGGTAAACAAATATCTATCCAAAGTTCAGAATAACTACTCCTGTTTCACTTCAGTTTCCTCTTCTGTTAAATTCTACAAAAGCAAATACATGGCTATGAGCCCCTTTTTATAAAATTACTTCTATCCATCCAGCCAACCATTCTGTTTTATGTGAACATAAGAGAAGGTTGGAATGATCCTGACAAATGTTCGCACTGTTTTTGCCGGACAGTGAGATTTGGGTTTGTTTGTTTGTTTTTAACTTCCTCTGTACTTTATTACTACTTAAAAATTTCATAATGTACAGGGATCAATTTTATAAAAATAATCAGGTCATAGTTCTTTTTAAAATGAAGCATTAAATTCGCAAGGAGCAACGTCATACTCAATGTGGAGCTTTTAGGAAACTAGAAAAAAATTAAGTCACTGAAATAGAAGACACAGATGGAGTTTTTGCAATACAAAAAAATATTTAAAAAAAACAGAAACTCACCGTAACAGCAGCCACCCTTCGAGGCTGGGTCACTCCTACAACTCTCCCTTCCGCTGTCCAGCCAGCTTCTGCAAGGTACTGCAAGGAAAGTCACACCTAGGCATACATCTGACACCACTTCTCCAGAAACCTCCTCCCCTAAGGTCACTCTGTGTTGTGTTAAAATCACTGAGAAAAGAAATAACAGATGGTTCTCGCCCCAAAAGACATTCTGGAAATTACTTTGCAAATAAGGGATCTGAGGCTTGAAAATGTTAGGTAATCTGTTTCAGTTCACATCAGAGCTGGTAATCAGAAGGACCAAGGTAAAATTCAACTTTCTGACTCCCTTGTCTTACAAAATTTCCATGGAATGGAAATGCAAGCAGTTTTAGCTACTTCAAGGAATAACATCTATCCATGTGCTCAGAACAGTGCTAAGGGGGAAGGAGGAAAAAAATTTAAAACAGTGCTAACTCTGCAAAATAAAGACTTTTAAAGTACTCATAGAGATAGCTCAATATAAATATCAACCATACAAAATGTTTTAGGAGACTTAAAAAAACATATTTTAGATACATGTATACATGCCATGATATTATATTAGTATACATAACATTTGATTATATTTATCTGATTTATGTACTTATTTGCTACATATATTTGTTATGTAGTTATTTGATTATATGCATTTTTAAAATCCAAAATAGATAACAGTATTAAATAGATTTAAAGTGATAATTTTATGTAGCACTTATTATTAGTTTTTATTACAATTATTATTATTCTCTAACTGATAATCTCTCAGTAATTTAACATGACCCTTCTCCTGTGTCCCTATGTAATTCTATAATAATCAATTTTTATTTACCACTATAGCAATAATTCATTTTACTCCTCTTCTTCAACTATAATTATTTGAGAACAAAAGCTATGCATTACACCTCTTTGATTCAATCCCCATTGTTCCTTTCAGAGTATGGCTATTAAATTATTCTTTTGGAATTATAAGAAATCAAAGACTGTTACTTCAGGACTAATCAAAGGACTTATAAGCCTCAAAAGTTCAATAAAAATATCCGATTGGGTTGAATACTTCCTCTCTGAGAGAAGACTGTAAAAATGCAAATGTCAGTAAAGGAAGTTCTCATTACAAAACCCTTCCAATAAAATCTAAGTGCAAAGACACATTTAAATACATACTCACTTGTGGAATCTGTGTGCTTTTCCCACATCCTGTTTCTCCAACAATCACCACTGTCTGATAGTTTTCTATCAAGTATAATATATGATTCCTAAGCTGAAAAAAATAGAACCATGCATTGTAAATAACCATACATTTTCTCAAAAGACCTAAACAAAGATATTTAAACATTGTGAGCTGTTTGCCAAAGCAAAGTAAATTTCTAAAAGATCAAAATGTATTTCCAACTCTTAGGTACTGCTGGTGTCAGTGTAAGCCGATACAACTCTAAGTATCAAAATATATAATGCACACACTCTTTGAATCGAGATATTCAATTATAAGAAGTTATGCTACAGATATACAAGTACATGTAAACAAAGATGTATATACAAGTATAATCACTGCAGTACTTTTTATAATGACCAAACGCTCTAACAGCCTAACTGTTCACCAATGGGGGGATTAGTTAAATCGGTTATGAAATACTCCAAGGGAACATATGCACTCATTCAAAAAGAACAAATGTCTACTTATACTGATATGAAATGATCAACAAGATGTGTCAAGGGAAGAAAGCAAGGTGCAGGACAGTGTGCGTGATGCACCAGTATTTGTGTGTTAAAGAATAAATGTATGTATATAAGCTGTCTTTGGGAAGAAGACACTGGTAACTGCAGTGTCTCCGGGGAGGGGAACAGGGAGGCTGGGGAGCAGGGCCGTGAAGGACAGCCTTACACTTTGTACAACAAGCATGTATTACCTAATTAAATTTTTTTCCATTGATTAATTCATTTAAAAAAAAGAAAAACAGACAAGAGGAATATGCTTTCACCGCTACCTCTCAATCCAAATACACAACAAAGCACCCACAGGTTACATCTGTATTTCAACAGAGCCTTCCTTTACCCACTCACTGTGAGCAGAAACATTGGCATGGCCACTGGAAAGTCGCAGATAATTCCAACATCCCATCAACTTAGCTTCCTAATATACCTGGTACCCACATTCGATTACAGACACACCTCATGGTCTGGAAAGCCGTGAAAGTTGTTCCAATAAATACCTGCTTTGGAATCAAGTTTTTTTAAAAGGCTGCCTAATTCTCCCACGCTGATCACTCCTGAGCTCCTCTGATCCCACAGCAGCAGTGTGTCTGGCGAAGATTAGAAGAGCCGGGATATTGCCTAACTGGTTACATAATCCAATGGCTGTTTTAGGTTTTCTAATTTGGCATTACATAGGTCTAATTATGTAGTTCTCAAATCTTAGTGTGAAAATCTCTGAGGATACTTGTTAAATAACCAAGATTCCTAGCCCTACTCTCAGGGTTCCTGATTCAGCAGGGCCAGGGTGAGGCCCAGGAGTCTGCATTTCTACAAGCACACCTAAGGGGGTTCGGCTGCAGGTGGCCTGATGACTAATCTAGATGTTTCCATGTCAGGTGCTTGCATTTTGTGCTTTCTTTTTTCTGGGTAGGAAGGAAAAGGTTTGGGTTCTTCGCAGATATTTTGTAAATGGTAGATCTATCCACTGGATGGACGGATGAATGGATGGGTGGATGCTCAAGGGAAACTTGAAAGATAATTTGAATACAGACAAAGGACAGACAAGGCATTCTCGGAAAGGGAAATAACATAAGCAAAAGAAAGGAGATGGAAATGAGCAAACTATACAAACTCTATTCGAGGGTGCGATAAAAAGCCCATGAGAGGCTCCAGGTGTGGATTGGGGATGAGTTTCGAGGGGTGTCGTTAGGGCCGCCCTGTGAAAGGCACTGAATGCAGAGCTGGAGCCTAGGCTTTACCTGGGGAGAAGTACAGGCTGTGTTTTGAGAACACTGGACGGCAGCACACAAGACTGACCTGAGCCTGAAGAAACTGCGAACAGTAACTCATACTGCCTGTGCTAAATACGAAGCACTGCAAATGGAAAGAGTCCAATGACATTCAGAAGATGAGAAAAAGGTTTCCAGTTTGGAGACCAGGAAAATGACAGCACCACTGACAGGCACAGGCAGGAAAACCAAGGAGGGTGGAGGAGGACCTGAATGAGCTGCAAAGAGGCTGCGTGTGAGGGAACAAGAGGACAAGCTTGGGTGGCCGCGTCCAGGGCCCAGGGAGAATGCCAGCCTACGGGGGGCAGTCAAGGGCCAGGCCGCCCCGTGATGGCGCCAGGAAAGTGGGGGTGAGCTCCAGAGTTATCCATCCTTTAGTTTCAGCATATTTTTAAAGCTACTTTTAATTTTAATGGGGGAGGGAGTGGTGAATGAATCAATCTCCTAGCTTTATCATGTGAGATCTTAACTATGCTTAAACTCTCTTTGCTTTTTATCAGTAACTTATACTCCTATCCTTATTATTTTAATTTCATCAACATATGTTAGCCTCTTGCTTACTCTTTTTTTTCACTTGTGGTTTTATTTACCATATCTTATAATCGGAAGATAAGGATCAGTCAAGAAAAGGCCAAAATTAAATACCTGGTAAATAATAATTTTCCTCATACTGGATGGAATGTTTTCTACATGTCCGATAACTTACTAAATGCTCTGCGTGAATTATCTCACCCGGTCCTCATAACAATCCTAGGAGGGAGGAACTATTAGTCCCATATTATAGATGACAAAACAGCTCAGAGGGCAAAGCAAGGTCACGCAGTACACAAATGATGAAGCTTGGGTTTGAACTCTGAAGTCCAGGCCCTTCATCACAGCTCATACTGTGTCCCTCAGTGGTGAGGGAGCAACAGTGAACCGCTACGCTCATCTCCCGAGGGTCAAGCTGGTTTACATTCACACATGACAGATGAGGTAAATCCCCTGCAAAAGAAACCCAGAGACTGGCAGTATATGAGTGACTAAAATGTTTGGGGCCATATAAAACTATAATGAAAGCCACTTGGCTAAATTAATAAGGCTGCCACTTAATATCCATTTGGACAAAGAACATATTAATAAGAGAGGAATTATGAGCGGTCTAGACAATGGGACTCCCTAAGTATAAGGACTCGGCAGCCTTCACCTAGCCCTGGCCGGGGGAGAGGCGGGGGCTGCTGGAGGCCACCCCTACTCGGGTCATTCCAGAGACACGGGGGGAGGCAGGGACATTCATCACCCTTCACCAGGGGCTACACAAGAAAATATATGTATCCTTCAACTATAGCTAAATCGCCTTTGGCTCTCGGCTCACTTTCTGATTACAATGTGCCTTCCCATGTGGACTTGGCAACAGGGAGGAAGTGTGTCCATGGATCAGGTCCATCCGAACTGAGCTACAATTCACGGTAAACAAAAATATTCTGAATTCTAGTTTACACTTTGGTCTCTTGCAAGATGACAAGAGATGTCTCCATTTCATGAAACTGATGAAATCCAGTGTCCGGACGTGCACATGGTACATAACAAACACACCAACATCCCCCACTGTCCCGGTGGGAGCAGCCCTCTTCAACAGAAGCCACCTTATATTCCCATTTAATCTTGTTTAAAGAAATATGCCTTTAAAAAGGAAGCCAAAATTGGCCATATGTTGGTAATCTGTTGAAGCTGTATGCATAGAAGTTCACTGTGCCATTTTCTCTGTTTTTCTGTATGTCTGACCTTGTCCATAATGGAAAACAAAGAGAAAAAAGAACACCATTCCATTTCTTCCCGTTTTGAATAGAGAAGATCTAACTGAAAAAAATCTTAAGGACTTTGACGGTTTATAAGATACATATTTTGCAAAGTTAATCCCTTCAAATAAGGGTGACTCCAGCTCTCTGTGTCATAAAGAGTCATTGAGAGTAAAAGGACCCTATTCGCTTCAGTGCCTACAAAACTCTTGCAGATGGCTTCGGGTCGACAGACTGAACGGGCTTATTCAATGTACCTTGAACACCGGCAGCTTCTGCCTCTGCTGCTCTATAGAAAGGGCGGCATAAGGATTGTAAACAACGGTTGTTGCAGAGTTTTCCGCTACACTTTGTCTCTCTTCAGAGATACTGACACCTGGTCCCTCTGTACCTGTAACAGAAATTTTTTTTTTCAGATTCTCTGATACGGTGAACAAATGTGCAAAAGTTACAAATTCAAAGAGGAAGCTACACAACAGAAGCAATGCATTTGATCTCAAACTACTAAGAGATATTTAGCTTTAACTTCAGGAAAGCATCTAGAAACGTACGATTGCTATAGAAATACAAAAATGTTCTCTGCAGGCTTCATTTGCAGTGTCAAGAACAAAGGAGATACAGTCCAGTGGGCTCCAAACTGGCCACACACAACTGTATATTACAGAAGACAATGTTTTTAGTTCTGGTCTCCCTGTCCATATTATCACCTAACCCTTAATAAAAGTGACGGAAACCAAAGGGGAATTAGCTGAGGCAAAGGATGAGTCCTGTTATTGCAGGACAGCGGCAAGTTCATGGACAACAGGAACCAGGGACTCAAATGCTTTCTCCTGGGCTTCTTCCTTCTCTCATCTCTGTTCCTCTCAGCATTTCCTCTCTGCCCCTTAGGGTGGCTTCCCTACAGGAGCAGAAACCAAGGCTGCCGACACAGCCACAGCTCAGGCCCTCAATCCCTCCACCAACCATTCACTCACCCACCCAGCAGGGGTGGGAATGCACGAGATACAGCATGAACACTGGAGGCAGGCATGCCTTCCTGTACCTCGCTTGCTGCTTCTATCATTCCTCCCAATAGAACAAAACTTAGTGCACGAACTGGTAGTAAATGCTAAGGAGAAAATTAAAGACCCAGTATGGGGGGACCTGGAGCCCCAGGTGTGTGCTGTCTGAGGATGTGGGGGGCTCTTTTTCTCCCAGCACAGGTCCAATGCCCAGTCCGATCCAATCAACTATGGCCAGAGGAGTGGGGCACGATAAATAGCAGCCCCCATTTGAATCACAGAATTGGAGCGGCTGGACGGGAAAAGCGCTGTTCTAAGAAACCACTCTGCTGAGCAGATTAAACCACATATTCCACAACAGCTTCTTGGTAAGAACAATGACGACCTGGTGCTCAGGAGGGTGAAGAACAAGGAAGCCCTTTTCCATCATGAAAAACTGCTCAAGGTACCATAGATTCTCAGCCTGAAAAGAGAAATGCCTTAGGAGAAGCACTTTTATGATTGCTCCCATAACTTTTCATGCCAGTTTATTTGTGTAGCTCTAGGATAGAAGTAAGAGTAATAAGTAAATGAAGCAAGGTTCAAAATTCAACTCACCAGTTAGAGCTGCTCAGCACTGAGGCACGGTGCCTCTGTGTAGCAATAAACACCCTCTCTACAAGTTCAAATGCAGGCTGCACAGCCTTCTTTTGGGGGTGCTACAGGGATAACTACCCAAAACTTATCTCGTAAGTCTTCTGAACCCAGAATCTGTGACAGTATGTGGAAGTATGGGGCCTTTATAACAAGAATATTTATTCATTTTTTTTAACAAGAATATTTAACCCAGTCTTTTAAGTCTGCATTTTGGGGAGTCTCAGATCCCTTTGATAATCTAATAAATGGCCCTGACTAGTGTGGCTCTGTTGGTTGGGCATCGTCCCACAAAGTGAAGAAGGCTCACAAGTTCGATTCCTGGTCAGGGCTCATACCTGGGTTGCGGGTTCAGTCCCCGGTACGCACAGGTATGAGAGGCAACCGATCAATGTTTCTCTCCCTCTCCACCTACCTTCACCTCTCTCTAAAAGTCAATAAATAAAATCTTAAGTTAAAAAAAAAAAAGGCTGATAACAGCAACCCCCTCAATCCAGCATTTCCTCTCACACAGTTTTTCAGTTTAAGTAGTGGCCCATTAGTGGGGTTATGAAATGAATGTAGTGGATCGTGACCAGCATTTTTAAATAATGAACTAGAAATAGGATAGAAAGTATCAGAGTATGTCCCAGGAAGCAATACTATTTTTGTACAACTTGTTCCAGGTGTATATGTGTATAAGCAAGCTGAATCACAGCACAGTATATTCTTTACTATAGGTCAGGTCAAAAAAATCTCCAAAGTTGTTGCTATAAAGTTTTTGCCAGGCATGTAGTCAGCAATCATTAAATATTTGTTTAATAAGTGAAGAAAAATGGCCAGGCCCTTCTGATCCACTTGTGCTAGTCAAATTTTTCCACAGAAATCTCAGGCAGCTCAGACAAAGCTCTTAAAGCAGACATCACAAACTGGTAGAGATCACAAACTAGTCACTCAGGGTCCCCAAAGACACCTTGCTTAAAATGTCTGAAATAGTCAACTCAAAACATGTAAAAATTTCCCGTTTAAATCTGGATATTAGACTTTAAAAAAAAAACACCTGGCAACTCTGAGCCCATATGACAGCCATTAGATAGAACTAAATACAATTTCCTGCTTTAGACAGCATAGGCAAGCTCGGGTGTCTATCAGTATATGCACATTCTAGTTTGCCATAGTCCCCACTACTCCCCATTGCTGCTTCACTTACCTAGATCGTCTGAAAGGCCCCAGTAGCTATCTCAACTTGTGACTCTCAGCCTGCAGGATATGTTCATGATTCCAACATCTCGCCTTGTATCTAGCCTCAATCACTTACTTGACTTTCACCATGTATTTCCCTCATCCTACTTTCATACCCTGAACTTACACCACCATCAGAGATACTGTAACCATTTAATAAAATAAGTAGAAGTGACCAGCACAAACTTAGGGCCCAGTAAGTGTGTTCTAAATCCATTCCCACCTCAATTAATGACAATTTACCTAGACAAGTGGTTCCCACACTTTGACATGCTGGAATCAGCTGGGGAATCTTTTAAAAAACACTGATGCCTGGTTTCTAGCCCTCCGGACTTCTGATTTATTGCCACAGGATATGAGAGAATGGCAGGATATTTAAGCTTCCCAAGCGATTCAACTACACAGCAAAATTTGAGAACCACTTACCTAGACAATGACCTAACCCAGAAATCTGAGTCAGTACTGACTTTACCTTCTTGAACATCTGCCTCTAAAATGTCCCTCCAATAAATTCCTCCTCATTATTCCCAAGCCAAAATTAAGGCTTTCAATATACTTACTCAATTTTAGTAGTACCTTCTCTTAAGGGTGTCCCTGACTTAATTTCCTCCCCTAACCTTTCTGCACAGCACTGCCAAAGTTACCTTTCTAAAATAAACCTGATCATGTCATCCCTTATTAAAAGCAATGAAATACAAATTCTTTAACTTGCCATGAGACCTCTCACAATGAGGCCCCTATTTTTCTAGCTTCGTTTCCTGATAAACCCCAAAATGCAGGGTGGGAAGAAAGTATGTTTATAATTGTGAATATGCAAAACAGTTTATCCTTGTATTATTACTTATTCTGTATTATTTTCCATATGAAAAACTACAAACTTTCTTTGCCCCATCCTGTATACCCCACCACTTAATATCATTAACACTACTCAATCATTTTGGTTTTTTGGACATTCTTTTTTCTTTTCCGAAAGATTTTATTTATTTATTTTTTGACAGCGAGGAAGGGAGAGAGAAAGAGAGGGAGAAAAACATCAACGTGTGGTTGCCTCTCGCACATCCCCTACTGGGGACCTGGTCTGCAACCCAGGCATGTGCCCTGACTGGGAATAGAACCAGTGACCCTCTGGTTTGCAAGCCGGCCCTCAATCCACTGAGCCACACCAGCCAGAGCAGTTTTTTGGATATTCTTGAGGCACGCATCCCACTTTGCCTTTGTTCATGTTGCACCCTTTGCCTAGAGGTCCAATCTCCTACTTCTCCATGGAATAAAAATCTTGTGTGTGCTTCAGTATCCACCTTGAAAATAGCACTTTCTTTTTTAAAAAATATCACTAGCTTGATAAATTATTTCTTATCCACACATTTGATCTTTCCCTCTCCTCTATACTTCCATATAATTAAAATAGTTAATATCTGTCTCGTGCTAACAGCTGTACATGTACGCGCATTTAGTCTTCAAAACAATCCTTTGGGTAGGTGCTACGTCCAATTTAGACATAAGGTGACTGAGACTTTCAGCACTTAAGTGACTTTGCCGAGTCACCAAGTTAGTAAATGGTAGTCAAGGATGGTCTCTATCGCCTGACTCAAGAGCCCACTTTTCCTTACCAACAATTTCTTCTGCCTCATTTTAAAATCACTTCTAAAGGGTATCCAACTTAAGAGTATAATTGAGAGACAGAGAATAAACCTTGAGAGCAAAGTAGAGCCCTGGTATTCTGTATCTGTTTCCTGACCACAAAATTTGGTGTTCGGTAAGTATACTCAATGAATAAACTAAATAACGGAATAAAACTCTTAGAGTAATCCCATGTTCTTTAACTAAAATAATACCCTGGTTTGACTTTCAGCAGTTCATTCAGGCCTTTATTATACTTAACACTTTGACTTATTATGAAAAGCTTGAATAAATAGATGGTACCTTGTTACCTAATGGGAGCTTAGTTTTGGCTGCAAATAAAACTCAGGATGGCTAACTGGCTGATAACTTGAAATGCTGAATCATAAAACTGTTAAGTGACAAATGAGAGATTTTAAAAAAGAACTAGCACATCCCTTGCATGGGTTTATCTCCCACATCACTTACATGCATGGTCAGAATTTCAGGGACGTATTCTAAAATACCCTTTAAAAGCTTCCCTTGTTTTACCTTCTCTATCTCATTTCATTTTTGCTGCAATATACTTTGCATATCCAGACCTGCAGAGGTGCAAGCAGTGGAGGGGTGGGGAGGGGTGGACTTGTTTTTCAGGAGAAACTGATGGAAGAGGACAAAGCAATGCACCTAGCAGGGTCTCACAGGAACACATTCAATAAAATCCTGATACAGAAAATTAAAACAAAACAAGCAAAGCATTTGGGGCTGACATTCGTGTTAGCCTGCAAAAGGGGAAGTGCATGGCAGCCAATATGAAGGAGTTCACTTTCTGGTAGACAGTCGGAGTGGACAGGAATCACCCTAAAACAAAATAACATACTTTCCCTTTTTATGAGCACTTACTCTACGTCAGAGTCGTCGTGCTCGTTATTCAAGTTCACAGGATCAATGTTATTATTCCGGCCGTTTAACAGCTGAGGAGGCTAAGGTTCAGAAGGGTTCAGTGATTTGCCCGAAGGCACTCTGCTACCACGGGCAGAGCAGAAAATTCGAACCCTGGCAGTCTGACTCCGCAGCTTGAGCTCCTAAAACCCTGAGCAGCACCGCCTGTCCGGTTCCAGGGTAGCCCCAGGGCGGTAAAAGGACACGCGTGGGCACGTTAGCGTTTCCCCATCTCGAGGATTGGGCAAGACAGGCATCAGGAGTGAGGAAACGAGGCCCAGAGTCCGAGAGGCTCGAACAAGGTCACACAGAGAATTTCTGCCCAGGCTGGAAGCGGACCCACGAATCCCTCCGGACTACTGTGCGCGCCGGAGTCGCAGACCCGACCAGCATCGAGGCGGCTGTGACCAGCCCGCCGAGGTCAGGCCTGCGAGCAGGTCCGCACGCCCCAGGTCCCCGGCAGCCAGGCCAAGACCAAAGTCAGTACGCCGCATCTCCGCGGCAATCTGCTCAAAGCCTTACCCGGTCGCCAGAACTTCACCGGTCCCATGGGCGCAGCCATGCTGGGGTGAAAGGTCACGATGAACGCTCCTCCCCTCCTCGGGCGCGCGCGAGCCCTTGGAGGGAACGGGGGGGCGTGGCCCGCGAGGAGTCAACGCCGGCGGTTACCGAGGAATTACGGCCACGCCCCGCGAGGCAACCGCCCCCTCTGTACCACGTGGCCGGGAGCTGTCGACCGCTAGCGTCCCGACCCCGCCTACAGGCCCGCGTGATCCACTAGCGACACCGAAGAACAGGGCGTTTTAGCGCCGCTGGCCACGGTTCCAAGTGGCTTTTCTAGGAGTGTGGCGTGGCCTGGGTGGGAGACGCTCGCTTCAGAAGGGCGAGCTTTGGGAAGGGACTGCTGGTAGACAGTGGGAACGGGGGCAGTGCATCCCAAAATAACTGCTAAATACTAATGATGTCGTACGCTGTCTCAGCTTTACCGTTTCTCTTTTACTCCTCCATAGTTTCTAGTTGAAGGGTAATAATAACTGCCTTGTGGGTCTGCTGGTTCAGTGACTATTCCCGGAGCGCCCACGTACTGCAGTTTCAGCCCCTTCCTTCATGAAGCTTCTGTTCAAGGTGGAGGCGAGAGTGAGTAGTAAATAAAATGCTCAGTAAACAGTAGTGTGTATTACTGTCAGTGAAGAAAACAATGGTAAACGCTGTGGAAGGAAGTCTTCAGGCGCCTTGACAGTAATGGTGAAAAACGGGGATAAAAATGGTTTGTACTAAGAGGCTTAGAAATGGGTAGACCCATTAGGCTAGGACACTAACCCAGTGTTTCCTACAAGTTGACTGCCCAAATGATTCAAATGCTTGTTAACATACAAGTACTAGTCCCTAGTCCATTTTTGAGTCAGAATCTCTGGGGGCGAGACCTGAGAACTTGCATTCTAAGAAGTCCCACAAATGATTCTTTTAATCAAACTGGAGAACGATTTCATTCATCCAAAGGAGAGGCTGGTAAGCTTAAGTAGAGGAACTATTTTATGGGTTGGCAACTAGTTGGGAGGAAGTGAGAGGCTTCAGGATCTATGCATTTTTAGAGCTGTTAAGAAAATGATGCACTCTTTCAGAGAAATGCCATAGTCGTGGAAAGATCAAAGGCTGGAGACAAGTAGACATGGTTTGGAATCTTTCTTTGCCACTTCCTACCTCCAGGCTGTCATCTAATATTTTTAAGAGTTGTATTAAATGAGATAATGTGTAAAGTTCCTAACACAGCGTAAGGCCTAGCAGGCATTCCATCCATGTTAGCTCTCCTTAAATCAAATAGACCAAATTCACCAGGAGTGAAAAAACCTAAAGTTAACATGCATACATTTATTTTCCAGTATCTTCTTTACTTCCATAATAATGAAAATAGGATTCAACACTTGATAATCCCTCTGCCTAGAATGCTCTGTCCATCCTTTAAAATATCCTCTTAACGGTCCGCTCTAAGAAGACTTCTCTAAACTATCTGGCTTAAGCATTCCGCTCTCTGTAGACCCAGAACCTGTGTGCTCAATTTATCGATGTGTGGTAAAGTTTACTTAGTTGAACTATAGTTAATCTCCACTATTACACTGCAAGCTTCTGAGGTCAAGAACCATGTCACGTTCATCTCTAGCCCAGTAACATAACAAAAGTGCCTAATGAGTAACGTATATGTGAACACCACACTTTATACTCTTTGCAAGTTCTTCCTAACATAGATTCTTCCTTGTCTTATTTTTGTCTTATTTCTCTAAAGGACCAAGTACAGAAAACAGAGTTCATACATGAATACAAGAAAAAAAGCAATAGATGCCACTTTTTACTCTGTATTTTATAAATTACTCATATGATTTATATAAAGAAATCTTCCTATTTACAAAAAAGACAGTAAAGCTGGAGGAGACTGTAGTCAATATCTGGTCTGGAAGAGCACTTGAAGTCTTGCTCCCCAGCAAATGTCGTCAGTTTGGCTCAAATAAAATCTTATTTTAAAATTTTTTAAAAAAAAAACACCTAGCTCTGGCTGGTGTGGCTCAGTGGATTGAGTGCCAGCCTGCGAACAAAAAGGTCGCCAGTTCCATTCCCAGTCAGGGCACATGCCTGGGTTGCGGGCCAGTTCCCTGGTGGGGGCAGCGCATGAGAGGCAACCACACATTCCTGTTCCTCTCCCTCCTGTCTAAAAATAAATAAAGTCTTTAAAAACAAACAAACAAACATCTAAATACTTTGTTTTATAGAATAAACCCTGAGGGCCATGGAGGTTAGTTAAAAGGACTTGGTCAGACTCAATGAGCTAATTTTGCATCAGAACTGAAACTAGAACTCAGGCTTTCTAATGCCCTGGATGGTTTTCTTTTCTTTTGTTTTTCAACTGCATGGACCATTTAAAACCATCAGAGCTTAACTCTTCTAGATAATAATTAGTTTATCTGTCCCAGAAAGTTCTCAAAGTCCATTTGTTCCTAATGGGTTGTTTTGCTTACAGGTGTCTATTGAAGAAATAACCTAAGTAATAACCTAGATGTTGATATTTTGGTTTTACTGTCAAAAACCGAGAATAGTCTCAGTAGACTATCTTATCCTCCCTAATTAACTATGTTCAGAAAGAATGGTCTAAAATAACAATTCTAAAATTAAAACCATTATGTCCTGAGATAGCATCCAGAATTGATTTAGTTCATTGCCAACAATTCCATCAAAGTTTAATCATTTTGTTACATAAGGATATATTTTGCAACTTATGAATGATAATAGGTTTCCCAGAAAGATGCTCCTCAAAATCACATTTCATGAGTACATGACAGAAGTTTTTCTGTGCCTATGGTAACTGGTACTTTCTGCTTTGAACTGTTTCCAGTCCTACCATCTTGGCCCTGTTCAGGAGGCAGATTTAGGAGTTTTTGTCTTTGTGCCAGTAAATGCTTTTATGTAACAAGTGATATTCTCACTTAAGCAAAAATGGCTCACATAAAGTCCAAGACTAGTTCTGACTTGAGGCACAGCTGCATTTGTGATCTTACCTTTCTATCCTCTAGTGACCCAGGTGTCATATGTCAACTGGATTACCATGTCAGCTTAGCCACCACATCATCTCAACATCAAGGCTTTTCCCAGAAATCATGGCAAATACATCTGGCCATGTATCTACCCCTGAATCAGTCACAAGGACCAATGGCTTACGCCTAGGTCACACTCCACCACAAGACAGGTGTGGTCCGCTTCACCAGAACCACGTGGACTAACAGCTGGGAACTAACAGAGGGACTCTGAGGGGGAAAGTATCGGAGTGTAAATGGATGCATCAAGTCAAAATAACGTATGTCCACTATACCATCCTTGTAGTCATGTGCTAGAACTCTTGGCTCCTAAGAAAAATCCTGACTTCCCTGGGGTCTACTTCATCAAGCCACATCCGAGAGCCACGTCCTAGCCTGAAAAGAGGTGGTCCTTTGTAGAAGTGCTTTTGCTGAATTGTACTATACTGGGATTTTCCACTGAGTCTAAGGTGCAGCCCGCTGAAAGCTTGTAACGTACATAAACCTGTCTGGTTTGTTGGCTTGCACACAAAGAATCAAGTTCACACATGTTAGCATAAGAGTTTACTTAGCACCAAGGATTTGGGTACAGAGGTGTGGAGAGATCCACTAGGAAGGAGACACAGCTACCAGGGGAGTCCGCCATGTTGGCCCGAGGAACGTGCGCAGCTGTGGAGCAGGATGAGTTGGGGAGGGCCTCCTGAGGTCAGTCTGGAGCTTTCTAGATGGGAAGACAGCCGCTTCATTGTTCAAACTGGGACACTTGGGAATGAAAGGGCGTGTTCACAGGCTTGAATTGCAACTCTGCCAGGCAAACTGTGGCATATTTCCCCAGTGTGTGGCACCAGTGAAACTAGTGTAATAATGCTCATCTGAACATATTCGACCTAAGGCACATGTTCCACACTCACACATGTGAGTACGTCCAAGTCAGTTTGTACAGCTACTCTTGGGGAGTTTAGTGTCTGGGCACACCCAGGATATCTGTCATTGTGTTTATTATCAGGATGCTTAACTACCATTTTGATAAGAGGATACCCGTGAGAAATTCTTACCCGGTTTTTAGTACTGAAGATTGTTCTTCCTGTACCTGGATTTACCTTAATTTTAGGCACATTGTGAATGGTGGACCCAACCAGGTTTCTCTTTCTACCCTGGCCACTGAGAACATAAATGTGTGGCCTACACAAAGTGTTCTGGTCACTGTGCCACACACCTGTAACCTCATTCCTGACTCATACTTCACCCTTGGATTTTCGTCATGTAAATTGTCATTTACATAATCTTGTATCTTTAAGTCCTGTAAGTAAAAAATAGATCTCCAGCCCAACTACCTACAAAAGTGGGGAGGCCATCTCTTCAGTTCCCTCCTTAAGTCTTTCAAGAGAATGTTGACCCTGCAGTCTGATTGGGTTGACCTTGAAATTGTACGGATGTCTAATTCAAACAAATAATCAGGGGGGGAAACAACTGAGACAACTGCATTTGAATACTATTTGATGATATTGAGGCATTTTTATCAAAGTTGTTTAGGTATGAGCATGGTAGTGTGGTTACATTTATTTTAAGTAAGCTTTTATCTTTTAGATATATACTGAAATATTTACAACCTTGTCAGCAATGGCCAAGTCCAACATTAGATAAATATAATTCTCTCCCAAGGAGTGGCAACAAATATTTTTGAATCCAATAGTTTCCCACACCCACCACCCCCTTCCCCTGGGAGTGAGACCAGTTATCAACATTTTAAACAAGGACCCTGCTAACTCTGGTGCATATGGTTCTCAGATCTCACCTTGAGAAGCTGCCCTGCAGGGATACTCTCCAGGCAAGTGCCAGAAAAGCTCTGCTTACTCTGAGAGATCCGGCCGTCTTCTTAGGATTCCATACACCTTCTGTTCTTATTTCTAATCACTTGTAACACTTTCAGAGAATGGATGAGAGTCCTGTACACAAAAGGAGGACTCTGTGGTCAGGTAAGCTTGTGATAGGCCTGCCCTCCTCTATGAAAGTCAACGCGCTCATTGCCTCATCCAAAAGTCTGAGCAGTCCTGCA